TGACACAAACAAAAAATGCAGATTTAACGTCTATTTTAAAATATGTATCCAAATCGAGTCGGCAATTTTCAAGAAAATTAACTATGTAATTGACCCGAATTTTAGTGGTACCTTACTCGTACTCGTTATAAAAAGTTATAGGTGCTTGAAAAATAACAATACGTCTGTTTTGTAATATTTAATTATCTTATATACAAATTTTAACATCTACTTAGGAACATTTTATATAAATATTTAAGAACTACATTTAATGTTTCAAATAATCGGTCATTCTCTTTTGAATTTTTTTAATATGCCAATACGCATCTCGTACTTTGGTCTGTATTTTTACCATTTCTTCGAGAGGGGCATCTTCACCATGTTACATAAAAAATTTCTCTAGCAGCTTAACTGAATATAGGGCTGGTTGAATGGTTGCTGGAGGTCCCAGATCAACTTTTTCCCCTTGGTGCTCACCCTTTCTTGCTTGTTGTAATATGACTTCCTCTGTCAAGTCTGCTGTTGTAGGCAAATCCTGATCTATCACCATAAGATCTTGCAACTCCTCACCCGTTTTCCCAAAACCGTCAACCACGAGACACACTGTATACAATATACAAGGCAAACTAAACTTGTCTGAACACTGTTTCGACGTTATATTAGAAATAACAGTCTACGTCACTGTATATCTTCCCCGGTGGAGAGTGGATGCAGAAGTGGCGAAAGGTTACTACTAAAGGAAACCGTTTTTTACTTCGATCGTTTCCCTGATTGGGCAAAAATTCGAAATATCTTAAAACTGCGGTCATCGCGATAAATGAAACTTGTATTTCGTTGGCCCAAAATCTTATCACTCGCAGTGGGGTATTTGATATTAATTTCTGATGAATTGTTTGTTAAATATACAGGGTGTTTTCTAAATCAATGTCAATTTAAAAAGGAAAACTTCATATGAACGTATGTCCTAAACGTCCCAACAACTTTTGAGCTACAGATGATACAAAAATAGATATGTGTAGGGCAGCCTTAAGTTATAAAACTTTTCACCCCGTCGTTTCTTCCAAAGTTTTTGCGAATGAGGGTCATATTTGCGGCGTTATCTGCCACAAAAGATTTTACTTCGCAGTCAAATTGTGATTTACATGAAGAAATTAGGTCACATACTACTTCAGTCTAGAAGTATCAACCGTTTCCTCCTCATAGATGTCATCTAAAGGGCTTGTTGATAACGTTGGCGTAAAACTAGTCAAGCCAGATTTTCAGTTTTTTTCTTTTTCTTTTGAAAAGGGTATTAATAAAACAAAATATTGTTTAGCCATCTGTAGTCGTTTCGAAGTTTGCCCAAACCTGTTTGCGAACACTATGAAGACAGAAAATATGTCTATGTTAAAAAGTTCAGACCTGCTCCATTTTATAAAATTATTTTTTTTTAAATCCGATAACAATATTTTGTTTTAATCTATGTCTATTAATTAAATTGTTAATTTTGGGACACCCTGTATTAACCTGTTTTTATTTTCTTAAATATAATTATTTCATTGTTTCTACATTTCGTGTAGTGCTATTAAACCTTTTTCATGATTTAATTAAACTATAGTTTTTTTATGAACACCCTGTATATTAATTTAATTTCTCTCGTATTCGGGTCGCGAACCGCAATTTTAAGATTCGACGATCGGAATATACTCCCCCCCTCCCCCTCGGAAAACGCCACTTCCAGGCAATATCGAGTGCACTCGAAACCTGACCGAGTACGATCTGCCCAAGTCGCTCAACATCCACGACCTGGAAGCGGTGGAACGCGTCGTAACCGACGTCTTACTGACGTCACGCCTCGAAGACGGCGGCCACGCGAAAAAGGACCCGGACTCGGGTCGCGTCGGCACTTATTACACCCTCACGGAAATCCTCGAAGACTTGTCCGAGACTAGAATGATACTGGCCAGCAACAACTTGCTGGTACCGTTGTGGAACATAAGCGATTCGGATAGACTGCACGGACGCCACTGGCCTTACGGCAGGGGCGTCTACATCGACCCCACGTACACCGTGGCCGTGTACGTCAACATATTGGATCACGTGAGGGTGGTGACGTCGACCACGCCCCCCGGAAACCTGGGCAAAGCATATGATCGCCTGGCGCGTCTCATGGACGCGTTCCAAACGAAACTGGAGTTTAAATTCGACGAGCGTTTGGGTTTTCTGACCTCGAGGCCGAACGTGCTCGGCTGCGGGCTCCAGTTCAAGCTCACCCTAAGGTTCGTCGCGTTTCTAACTAAGCGATACGGTGCCGACCAATCAGAACGCAGTTCGGACTATTTATGACATTTGATTCCGTATAATTTTGGGCCTCCTAAATTTAAATCGAATTAGTAGTCACGTAACCTTTTTTTTATTAAAACTACACCAGAAGAAAAACCGAATTAAAAAATCTAAATTAAATAACAAAGCCTCAAACATTTATTTATTTATTATAAAATTTTGTATTGCTACGTTACTCAAAAATACTTAACCCTCTGCTGAAGCCTTAAACCAAGGATGTTTGAGGTTTTAGTTTGTCATAATATAATTTAAACGAGTCAGAATAGCCGATGTCGAACGAAACTCCCTTCGTTTCGAATTGATGATATACTCGCCTTTTGATTGGCTCGCCGCCATAAAAAAAAATTGACGCGTTAATACGTGAAGTTCCGATCGGAGTCGATACAGGGTGTTGCGGAATAAGGGAACGGGAATTTTGCAAAAAAATAGACACTATGGCCAAAACAGTTCGTAACATGTATAGGGTTATTTTATATTATTTTATAGATAGAAAAGATAGAAAAAAAAGTGTAAATCATTTTTTTTTAATTGAATGCCCTATATACTACTTAAATCGTAACTTAAATCGTAGATCATTTTCATTGAGCCGTTTTTAAGTTATTTTAATAATATCAATATTTTAATATATATCAATAATTAATTTCCTGTGAAAATATAATGAACAACACGGTATAGGACGATCGAAAAGTCGCGTATTAGCTTAAAACGTCGGAGGGGGACGGGGGGGACGCGCAGAATCCGAAACGATAGAGCGGTTCGATGAACGTTCAGGTGCCTCCACCTCACGAAACAGTCGGAAAAATCCGACCACCTGAGGTCGCTGTGCTCGGTCAGAGGGCTGACCTACGACCGCGATCAGCACGCCACTGGCGTTTTCAAGGTCTCGAACCGCCGCACCATAGGCGTCGACGAGGGGCAGTGTTTCAGGGAGTTCGCGACCGCCGTCGCCAACATCCTCCAGCTCGAGAAAGACATCGTGATGTCGAACTCGCTCCATATCGCCGCCATGATACTGAGCGTGTTCAGGAGACGGTCATCCGAACGGAACGGCCATAAATAGTGCCGGATCTTAACCTACTCTAACCGTTTAGTCTATGTTTTAGTGCCAAAGTTTTTTACGTTCGTTCGTATCGGCGACGACGGGGACGTCACCTGGCGGCCGATTCGTAAGTGCCTCGGTACGTCTGGCAACACCGCGTACGGGCAGCGACTTGGCAACAAGTTGACCGCAGTCTTCGAATCTCTATGGCGTTTTAGAATACAGAACGAGGATTTTAAGGACATATCCACTGAAATTGCCCAAAATCAAATGTTTAACATTAAAAACCAAAATATATTTTTTCCGAAAATTGTGCTACCCGGTATCTCATGTTGGTACAAAAAAATGCTCTTAAAATATTCGCATTGAATTCTGAAACACCCTGTAGTTATTTATTCAAAAAATATATCAGAAATAAAACAGAAACCGAAGTAGTAGTGGTGTGTGGTTTCTGTGGCCATATTTTTTTAATTTTAAATCATATTATTGTTTCGACGTGGGACGCGATTTTAACCAACGAACACTTCTAAATTCTGCAAATAATTAACATTTTAACATTAACATTAACATAATTTGAGTATAGACTTACGGTAAAAGCCTGAAATGTTACTTAGTTACAAATGTAAGCGAACATGGACTACCTATGTAAAATACTTTCGGCTATGCGGTGTTATACTCGTCACGTATATCAACTTTCGTTATTTCAATGGAACACCCTGTATATTATTACATTAGAAAGTACTTTTTAAGAAATTTAGCAAAATGCCAACCCGATGTAAAATAATAATTTTTTTTGGTTGAATTTTTGGTTGCGGTTCCCTATTAAATTGCTTTATCATGATATGGTATGAGAGTTAACGTATCGGGTACAGGGAGTTTATTTGATAAAGCCCAATTGACAAGACATAAAAAATCTAAACTACGGTATATCTATTTTCACTGGTTTCAGAGTTGCAAGCAATAAACCAAAATAATAAAATTAAAATTAATTAATTATTTAAATTCAAGTGTTTAACTGTAAAAAAAAGAATGTTTCGCAGAATCTAAAAATGTTATAACATTTAAAAAACGAAAGTTGATATACGTTACCAGTATATCTGGCAACACCGCTTGTCCAAAAATATTTCACATATATTTATTCACATATATATACGCCGTACCGGCTTCGGTTTGAACTATACCCAGTGCTTGCTTTAAAATTTGAAAGGGAAAGGCAAATTTGAAAAAAAAATCCCTATAAGGGTTGGTTTTGTTAAGTGCGATCTTTGTCTAGGAACTGAGCTCAGCAAGACTTAACAAGAACCTAAAAGTAGTATCATTGTAGTGCTACTTAGGAATTAGTATACCCTGTATAACATACGCTTAAACTCAATCGCCTTGTATATATCCTGCATCTGATCATATTCGAAGAATGACAACGGAAAGTGACCACGGCCAACTTGCTGCCATCGTCATTGGCCTACATGTTGTACATTTACGTAGGTTTGAACCTGTGACGTGTGCGGTAGGCTTTACGTTTTCCACACCTGCACCGTATAACTTGTGTAAATCGTTGTTGACGTTGGTACCGTCCTTGTCGTTTTCCGTTCTGTGTGCGTGGCAAAACATAACCTCACTTCCGTCGGGCATTTTTGATCGCACCGTCTCTGTTTTGTTTCAGATAACGCGTTGGAGGAGAGCGAACAGGTCAACATGCCCTTTTTCGCTACCGAAGAGGGAAGATATCTCGCTTCCTGTAAGTATAGGAAATTCCTCCTAACTTAACCTCATTTCTTTACATTGATTTTTGATTTTTTCAAACTTTTATATATATATATATATATATATATATATATATATATATATATATATATATATATATATATATATATATATATATATATATATATATATATATATGATGACACTATATTCCGGGATATCATCCGTTCGCTCGTTGAACTCCGACTGGAATCCTGCAGACGTTTCGCCAAAATCTCACTTGGCATCTTCAATGCTCGCGCTCCGAAAACACTTCGAACACTTTGTATATTGTAATATGTAAAAAGTTAAAAAACTTGTTGTAAAGATTGCAAAGCAAATAACAAGCAAAATAAGCAACGTTATCGTTTAAAAATATGATGTTTATGAAGATCCGTGTGTTCGATAATAAATTCAATTGTAATGCAGCACTGGGCGATCCTCTGATCAAAGGACTGACGGAAGTGGCCAACAAGCGACCTCAGGACCCCATAGCGTATCTCGCGACTTACTTGTACAATTTCGCCCGCGGTCAAAAGGACAACGGTCCAAACCAGGTGAGAAGGGACGCCCTGTATATCACCCAACAACACAAAAAGTGACAATGTTACCACTTGCCAGCCAAAATATTAAGGTTAAGTTGTGCGAACTCCGTATAAAAACTCGGAAACGCTAAATACAGCGCCACCATACCGTGGCCTAGAAAACTATTTCCAAATGGGGTATATCGATAAAAAGAATTCCTGTAATACAAATTAAAGTTTAATAAACTTTAATTTCGATTTCATTTAACACGAAAAGAATGATCCAAATCCCATAATTCAAAGTGTATTGGCCAATAAATATAGAGCGAGGAATAGTTTTCTAAAAAATCGGTAAAGAAATTTTTTTTGTTTATACGTATAGTGGCTGCCATCTACTAGATGAGCTATACGCTCTGTTATAGCTATTAAAATAATGCACAAACCATATTTTCTACACTATTTTACGTCTGACAGGGAAAAATACAATAATTTATGTATATTTTCCAACGGCTTAAGGCAATAAGGAACTTTACAAATGAAAAATATTTATAAACAAGTAATAAAAATAAAAACCCAAATTTTTGTCTGGATGGGATTTTGACTAACTTCGGGAGATGCTTGATGAATTTTCAAAAGTTTCGAACACCCAACGACCTCTTCCAACATTTAAGTTAATAATGAAAATGTTTCAGTGAAAAAAGTTTGTCGAAGTACTTCATCCTGATGTATGTTATGTATAATTGGACTCCTCGATGCAAGGTCATCTTTCCTTTGAAGTTCCCATTGTTTATTTAAAACATTCGTTTCTTGCTGAATATATCATCACACTGTTATATTACAAAATCAAAAATCAAATACGTGCAGTACATGATGCCTGATACTGAGACTGTGCTGTTTGCTGACGACACAACGTTAATTAATTCAAACAGGAGCATCACTACCCTGAGCAATATTGAAAGATATATTTTATCTAAGGCCAAAGCGTGGTTTTCAGCAAATAATCTACAACAATCTAGTGTCCAGTAGCAGCAGCAGCATGTGGCATGAGATGCAAGATCCTGGGCGTTACCTTAGGTGACATTTTGAATTGCTCAGATCCCATTGGCAAGCTAGGTAAAAATCTTTCAAATATTCATTTTCTTTTCCGTCAACTTCGCAGAATGGTGAGTTTTGATGTATTGATTATCTGGTTGCCTAAAAACGTATGAACATGGGCGAACATTTAAGTTTCTCATATATTTTGGCTGGTATGTGAAAATTGCCATTTTTTAGGTTAGGCCTCTGACTTGATGTCAATGTTGAAATTGTGATGTAAAAGCGTCATTTGGGAGAAATTTCATATACCTTAAAATTTGGTAAGTAGGAGAACACTCCAAATAGCAAGTGACCTTGTAAATTTCAAAAATTGAAATAATATAAAAAATACCAGAAATCAAAATGCATTTGCTAAAAATATTCAGCACTAAGGTATCAAAAAATGTTTTTTAAGCTTACAGAAAAACAAACTTTATATATATATATATATATATATATATATATATATATATATATATATATATATATATATATATATATATATATATATATATATATATATATATATATATATATATATATATATATATATATATATATATATATATATATATACAGTGTGTCCAAGATAAGGATGCACAGCATGGGGATCTCGGAAACTATAAGAGATACAGTGTCGGTTAAATTAGACAAAAGTTGCGCATTTTGATACCGAACAAGATCCCGTTTTACAAATTTGAAAATTCCAAGCCGTTCCGGAAATATCCGAGAAAAACCGAAATATTGCGATTTCGTTTTTATTATTTTTTAAAGCTATTTGAAAAGATATGAAAAAACGGAAAACACTTTTCCATTGGCACTTTTTAATCTCTCCAAATTGACGTTAACAAATTTTCATTACAGCGTTTCGATTCCATGGAACCACCATCAACTTTGATTTTTCTTATGGGACGGAAAAAAAGTACACACAGTATTAGGTTGTGCTTTTCATTGCGAATTCAACGATGTACGATACAATACGGTTACTTATGTTTTTATCCAGAAAAATGGCTTTTTAATACATTTCTAGTATTTTATTGTAGTAGGCCATGAGATCCGAACGATGAAAGACAAAAGAAAATGGTTGACAAGTTCGAGTTAATGTGTTTATTTATTTACTAACTCTAACTGTTCATTTAACATAACAACTAAATCCAACAAGTTAATGAAAAACAAATTCTATAACGAATGTTCGAATAAATGACCTCCATTTTCTAGGCATAAGTACGCCCGTCTCACGGTAGACTCCAAAACACGACTTAACATTTCAGGAGTAATTTTATTAAACGCTGCTCGTACTGATTGACGTAATTGTTCCTCGTTGTCAAAACATTCTTTGAATACCTCATTTTTTATGTAGCCCCATAAGAAAAAGTCCAAGGGAGTTAAGTCCGGGGACCTTGGAGGCCAAGGTGTTTCACTGTAAGTCCCAATGTATTTTCCATCAAACCGTTCAGTTAAATATTGGCGAACTTCTCTGGAGTTATGGGCTGGGGCACCATCTTGTTGGAACCAGCAGCCTTGCACAGCGCCTAGCGGTAAATCATCTAAGGCATCTTCTAAATCGTGCCTCAAGATGTCAAGGTACCGCTCGGAAGTTAAGGAATTATTATAGAAAATAGGGCCTATAATCTTGCTACCAAAAATCCCACACCAAATATTAAACCCAAAGCGAACTTGATGTCTGGATAGTCTATTAACACGTGGATTTTGCTGCGACCAATAGTGTGTATTGCGCCTGTTATAAATACCGTTATTGGTCACCATACTTTCATCAGACCAAATCACTTTATATGGAAAATTAAAACTCTCATCACACATCCTGGTATACCACTCACAAAAATGTCTACGTCGTTCGTCGTCACCCGGTTTTAATCCTTGACATATTCTGAATTTGTAAGGCTTAAATTCATTTTTCCTTAAAATAAACTGAGCTGTAGATTTAGCTACCCCATTCTGGTCTTCAATTTCTCTGGTAGAAGTTTGTGGATTTTGGATAACAGATTGTAAAATAATGTATTGGTTTTCTTCATTGGAAGGTTTTTGTCGGGATAATGCAGGCTTCTTAAATGATCCATATTCTTTCAGATTAAATAACAAACGCCGAAAAATACTCTTGTCAGGTTGTCTCCGCTCTGGGTATTTGTTAGAATACATACGCTCGGCTTCCACACAATTTCTTTGGCATCAGATGTAGCAAGACAGCATATCACATTTTTCTTCGTTTGTAAAATTACCTCCCTCCATTGTAGAACAAAATAAATTAGAAAAAGACAACAACAATAAAAATACAAAAACAATAACTAAAGGAATAAACTTATGATCGACTGATAACAAAGACAAATAACATTAATTAATGTGTCATTGAAATTGACTGGATGTCATTTTGTCATGGCCTACTCCATTTAAATACTAGAAATGTATTAAAAAGCCATTTTTCTGGATAAAAACATAAGTAACCGTATTGTATCGTACATCGTTGAATTCGCAATGAAAAGCACAACCTAATACTGTGTGTACTTTTTTTCCGTCCCATAAGAAAAATCAAAGTTGATGGTGGTTCCATGGAATCGAAACGCTGTAATGAAAATTTGTTAACGTCAATTTGGAGAGATTAAAAAGTGCCAATGGAAAAGTGTTTTCCGTTTTTTCATATCTTTTCAAATAGCTTTAAAAAATAATAAAAACGAAATCGCAATATTTCGGTTTTTCTCGGATATTTCCGGAACGGCTTATAATTTTCAAATTTGTAAAACGGGATCTTGTTCGGTATCAAAATGCGCAACTTTTGTCTAATTTAACCGACACTGTATCTCTTATAGTTTCCGAGATCCCCATGCTGTGCATCCTTATCTTGGACACACTGTATATATATATATATATATATATATATATATATATATATATATATATATATATATATATATATATATATATATATATATATATATATATATATATATATATATATATATATATATATATATATATATATATATATATATATATATATATATATATTGTCATTGTCATTATCAGAAATAACCTTTTGTATAAAGAATGGCACAGGTTTGTCAGACGTGAAGGTCACAGAAAGTCGTAGAATAAATTTTCCCGAAACAGATAAAGAAACGAACCGTGAGAAGCAATTGTAAGTTTGTAATCAACAACATATCCGGATTTAGGAAAATGGATGGTTTTGCTGGTACTGACTGGCATATAGCCATAATTGTCCCAAAAACTGAAAACCTTGAGAATCCTGGGATAATCTTTTATTGCAGGAAGGAATATTCTAGTTTAAACGTTCAAACAGTAAGTAAACATGTTGATGTACTAAAAAGGTGTATTGTTTTTTTTTTTTGTACTTACAGGTTTGTAACGGCAAATTGTGTAGTTAAGTTGAAGTTAAATTAAACATTTTTTTTTTCAATATTGAAATGAAAGTTGATATTTTCAACATTGACATTAAAGTTAACGTACTTGGTACATAGCCCTTAGATCGTCACACCATCGAATCATCTCCCCACCCCTGTGCCGTTCATTTATAGGAGCAATTTCACCAGGAGATCGTACGCGGCAGTCCGCAGATGGTGAACGACAACAAGGCGGTACCCGCGTCGATAGATGTCGTCACCGTCGACCCAGATGACGACGACGAGGGGGCGGAGTCGGCTTTCAACTCTATGAGCCGAGTAAGTGACGCAAAAAATTATTATTATTGAAGGTGTAGGGCGCTTTGACACTGGAACAGTGATATAATCAGATTTTAAATAACAACTCTAGCTGCGCCATATCTTAATATGGAAGATGTTTTCATTTTGTATTCACTCTTTTATTGCAACTATTCACCGAAATGATCCTTTCACGTTTTTATTATTTATTTTATTATTATTATACTAATTATTGTCTACTAATTTCTACTAATTATATCATAGCAAAGTATCATCAATTATGATGTGATTTTTTTTACAATAGAAAATGTGAAAAATCAGTTTTGTTGTTAATTGGTATATAAACGAAAATTGTAATCTTTTTAAAATACAAGAAAAAGGCGTACTATAAAATTGTACAACATCCGAAATTAAAAGAAAAAGGAACCTGAGCACCTAGGGATTATCAAAAATAAACAAGTTAAATATGTCTTAACCTTGCCACAAAACACAGGTAACAGATATTTGGTTGTCGCATAAAATCTAGGAATAAGTGTATGAAGGCAGAGACACATATATATCAGTCACTAGTGCTGATTATTTCGATCGTACGTTGGATATTAAAGGCAGAATCCTAAAGTGCAATAAACAAGTCAGGGCATAATATACTCAAGGGCAGACACTCACAATGGTGGCCTCAACTTTCAACCAACTTAGTAGTTTGAAGTGGTTCAAGAACTAAGACTTAAATAATTCTTTGGACGAGGAAACAAAACAGAAGTGTTAGATGAGAAATGGACGTGAATGATATTTCCTAAAATCTTCTTCTTCTTATTCTTCGATACCTTCTTTCCAGATGGGTCGTGGTCAGTACAGTTTCACTGTTGGCTTGCCGGTCTATGTACAATTTCCCTCCATCTTCTTCCATGATAGAACTATTAGTAACCTCTTTAATTTGGTCCGCCATTTTTTTCTTGTCGTACACTACGAGACGCTCCAGGTTATCATCATCGCACCTTGACATATGTCTGTAATCTACTTCTTCGTCTCCAGCGATCTTGTTCCTTGATAGTTCAGGATTCAGTGCGCTGACCCTTCAGCTCTTTTCCGGGTTTGTTTGTTGACACCTCACATCGTCTCTTAATTTCTTCTCAGATATCACTGGTTTATCACTTGACACTGTCTAGCTACGATCATGACCTTTATATTGTCATGGTTCATATCCAGGCCTTCGTTCTCTAGTAATTCCATTGGCTGGGCAAGTTCATTTTTTCAATATTTTAGAACGTTTCTCATAACGTATTCATTCACTACATAATGTTGAAAAGGAGTGGTGACAGTGTACATCCTTGTCTTAAGCTGATATCCGAATCAGGGATATCAGATGTGGTGGTCCTCCCATCAGGTTCAGTACTTAATTCCCGTCCCTTTTCTCTGATTTGTCTGATGTTTAGAAAGTTCTTTCATCTTTCGTGTAGAGGATTTTGCTAGCATGTGAAAGTAAGACTATAAGTCTGTAATGTCCACATTTTTCCTTGGATTCAGGATCCAGTTGACCAGATCCTTTGGCATTATGTCAACAGCCGCTGCTTTTATTGATAATTTCTCCGATTTATTCCTAATGCCACCACTTTAATCGAAGGACGAGCACGGCCAGAGCATGCTACATTTCGCTGCGGCGCGAACCCACGGCAGGAACGCCCTCTTTCAGCTGCTCCTCGAAACAGAAATGAGCGTGGCCTACCGCGACGAGTTGTATCGGACAGCGAGGGACATCAGTATCCAGGCGAACATTCCCGACAACACGGCCGAAATCGACAGATACGTGCTCCACGTGGCGACCAAAGGTTTGGCCAATATTTCTTGTAACACCCTTTGAAATTACACGAAATTTGACTAATGTAACTACACAAAATGTAAACTAAAATACTAGCTACTAATAATCATGTCAACAAGGCCCATAAAAAACGTTTTTTTTTAATATAGCTTTTCGTCAAATCAAATCAATCAATCAAATTAAACATGTTTGTTTAGAAATTGCCTACTAAAATTTTGTACCAGCACTTTTCGAAAAAGTCTGTGGTCAATTAGAGAGTAAACAAACTGCATCCATAAGATTAACCCTCTGCGTTTGCCAATATCATCCCCGTCTTCCGTTAGTGAATAAAAGGCCTTTTCGATAATTCGTCTTGGATATGTTCTAATCCGTAAGTAAGATAAATAAAAATGGTAACTAGAGGCGTATTCCACGGGTAAAGTTTCGTCCTTGAACGCCCTTGGATTCATTGCCTTCCCGATCACGTTTGTGCTGGCTAGAAACGCGATTCTAAGGTTCCACACTGAACGTGGTGGCGTTTCGTAGGAGACACCGCCAAATTGGTCGAGCTCCTCCTCGAAGGCTACGACCACATCACCGACATCGTGGACGACGACGACACGTCCATCGTTGAAGCGGTGGCCAAACAGAACCAATCGGAGACGGTTTCGTTTCTACAGTCCGTGCTGGCGTTCGAGGTGAGCGGTTTGTGTACTTAGTAGTGTGTTTGTTCGTGTATGAACCGAATCCATCCAAAAAGAAATCGAAAATTCTCATCCTTTTAGTTTAGTTAATTTAGCCTCCTATGATAGGAACCCACTCATTTCCATTTTAAAGATTTTTAAAGACATTAAAGGCCGACCTTTAAATAGCGCCAAAATTTCTTTCTTCTTCTTCTTCTTTTAAATATATATCTTGGTGGGCTGCGAAAAAAAAATTGAAACCTTGCGTAACGCAAATTGAGTATAGAGCAGTCATAAAGTTTTTGAAAAAAGAAGGGTTAGCACATAAAATTATTAAAGAAAGGCTGGATGGTGTGTACGGCCAAAGTTCTCCTTCGTATTCTCTAGTGAAAAAATGGGCAAAACGTTTTCGAATAGGGCAGGAGTCCCTTGAAGATGATCCAAGAACTGGTCGACCAGCGGAGGTCATAACGGAAGATATTGTTGCGATTGTGGAAGAGGGGGTATTGAGTGATCGACGTTTAAAGGCCAAAGAGATCTCAGAAATTACTAAGCTTTCTGATACAAGTGTTCGTCGAATCCTGCATGATTATTTAGGTATGTAGTGCAAGATGGGTTCCTAAAAACATTTCGGCTATTCAAAAACAACGCCTTGTCGAGTGTGAGCGGTTTTTTTTGGAACTCTGTGGGTCGGAATCGAAGCCTATTGTGACGGGAGATGAAACTATGGTTCTCTATTATGACCCTCTATCGAAAAAAGAATCAATGGAGTGGCGTCGTAAGGGTGAAGCACCTCCAAGAAAATTCAGAGTCTGCCGGTCAACAAAAAAGGTGATGGCCACGATCTTTTGGGATTGTGAAGGAATTCACTGTCAATAGTAAATATTACGTAACATCATTGCATAAATTGGGAGACTGCATACGTGTAAAACGTCGAGGAAAACTGACCAGAGGCTTGTCTTTTGTGTTGCACAAGCTGCCAGTTTAGAGTGTGTGCTCCAACAGATAGATCATCCTCCCTATAGTCCAGATATGGCCCCCAGCTATTTGTTTGGATATTTTTGGGCAATACGTTCAGGTTTTGTAATATTATTTTCGGAGGTTTTGATTTTTTAAGGATTTTTGCGGTTTCAAATCGAATTTCATTAGCTGCTCGAGATGGCAGTTTGTTTTGTAAATAGTCTTACAGTAGCCTGCGGAAGTTTCTTTGAAAAATCAATTTTTCTTGCTCGACGACGTTCTTCTTTCTTCTCACTCTTCCAATTGTGCCACGGAAATCGGTTTGCCGCAGGAAAAACGGGAGAGGGTCCATCACGCGGTGCGGCAGGGCTCGCTGACCGAGGTGATGCACCTTCTGGCCGACGAGAACGACACGGGTAGCGGCAAACTCCTCGCCATCGGTAAAAACAACTACGGCCGATCCTGTCTCCACGTGGCGGTGCTCTGTCAGCAGGAGGAGATCGTCGATTACCTCGCCAATACCTTCCCGGACACCCTGAGGATCGGTGATAACGTAAGTTTGCATTTCGCTGAGAGGTCCCGGCCAAAAATCAGATATGCCAACCTGAGAATGTCACGCGAACGTCGACCTGACTATTATACCCTGCCCTATTGACTGGTTTATTCCGAATATTTTCGGAAATACGTCTAAAAATCCTGAGAGCTGCAATGGAGCGTATACCTAGTGGTAAAAGTCCGTATAGATTAATCGTATGTACGGCACTGCAGACTCAGCAGACCTATTGTGCTTCCTCCGGTTTATATCAAACCCATTGACTCCTCGTAGAATTGGCAGCTCCCAGAGTCGTTTCCCTGATCACCTTAGGGTATTATACCTATTACCACGGTCAGGTATTGTTCGGCTGCTTCCAGACTATATTAATATTTTTTACAATACATAAAATCTTTTTTTTTGACAATTTTATTGTACCCACTTCTTTCTTTTTTTCAAGAATAATATTTTTGGATAATAACAAAAAAAAAACTTTTTTGAAAAAAAAAAAAACAAAATGCCTGGTTTCGTTAGTATAGGTTCCAAACGACGATTGTAAGAATCGTGTTTGCTTTATCCAGTCACTTTGGAGTACAAAGAGAGCTTTTCAAAAAATTCTGTCTTGAAATAGCTGGCACAATTTTTTTTTACGGTTCTGAAAGAAGCACAGGGAATTCGCAAAAGACGGATGACAGCTTTGTATGATCCTATCCTCCAATCTTTTAATTCTGTCGAAATAGTTTGACAATATCCAACGGGAGCCTTAGGAATCACAGATTAAAAAAAAGTGACAACAAGGTCAATGTCAATGTCAAGGTAATGTTATTTTTCTCTCAACATGCAATTTTTAATGGTAATTTCATATCGCCGTTTTCATTATATTTCGAAATCAAAACTGATAGTCAATCAACTAGCATATATATTTATATGAGTTAAGCAATTTCAGCTTATAGTGTGATGGTTTTCTTCTGAAAACAAAAAATAACCGACTTTGCTATAATCCAGATATTAATATGTTACATTTATTATTTAAAACTTTTAATACTAGACACATTTTGTATACTTTACTTAATTTAGTTATAAATAATAACATATGCATCTGAATTGGAACGGCTATCGATACGATAGACCTTTGAAGAAATGAAAGCTAAATTTACAATTTTGCTTGTGTAACAATACGGGCAAAATGTTCACAACAAATATACGATGTACCTAAGCACTTATCAATAACTATTGCATTCAGTAATGCAAAAAACAATTCTATTTTTAAATAAACGTCAATATAAAAATCCTTTCTCCTCCTATGTTACCATCATATACATTAATTACATTGTAAACAGAATGGGATATACTTACAGCCTTTTAACCACCTTATTGCACAACAGGAACACAACACCAAAACATATTGCACCAGCTATAGTTAATAAAGTTTAGACGGAAACAAATCACCCTTGAAAAACGCCGAAGGGCAATGAGAAAATCCTGAAATCGTTAACACATTCAAAATGAAATGACGCGAAATCACAATGATTCTTCTTCTTAACGTTTCGCTTTAAGTTGGGCACGTTTCTCCGAATCTTTCGCCCAAATCACGATGCCATATATTTTGACGCGTTGCTGATATTTCACTACGGATTACACTATCGTGTGAAATAAAACTGAAGAAAATGAAAATTCTTCAAAGAAAATGCTTTTTAGGTTATTCCATATTTTCCCGACGTTTTTATTCGAATTCTTGGCGCTGGATTTTTGGCCGCTCAGGTTGAGTCGCTTCAATTGTGACGTCATATGGCGCTGTTGTAGCTCGAACGGACAGCGTTGCATTACGCGATGGGAGTCGAGAAAATGGAAACGATCAGTAAGGTGTTGATCAAGTCAGGCGCGAAAAGGGTCGTGAAGGATTTGAAAGGACGTCAGCCCACCTACTACTTCCTCAATAAGTCCGACATCGTCAAACTGCAAGAGGAAGAGGAGATGTTTTAAAGGGATCGCTCTCCTCCCAATAGGATTGTAGTTTAAATGTTTAAGATTAACATAGTGGTTAGAATGAAACTTTTTACACCATCTCGGCGGGTTTTTATCTAATTTCTGATGCTATCTTCGGATGTTATCTGTAATCTCTGAAATTTTGGAAAACTTGACCGAGATTTTGACACACACTGGCACACATCACAGAAATCGCAACTTTTTATCCAAGGTTATCGCTGGGGGGCGCGATTGCGTAACAGTGTCACGGATTGCCTATGTTTACGTCACGGAATGGCGTGAAATCGATTTGATCGTCGTAACAAATGATTTTAGGAAAAATAAAGGGTAGGGATTCAGTATTTTTATATTTTACGTAGTTAAGTGTCTTTCCTTCACCTAGGTAGTACAGGTCTTTAATTGGGATTAGTTGTAGGTAAGAAATAATTTCACATAACATTTTTTATTGTACGAACAAAAGTATATACTTATTATTAAACCATTTAATGAATAAACGAAGTTTGATTTTCCCGTCCAAACGTAAGCAAAATTCGGCAAAATAACGATTGGTAACGCGGTGACGTCAGTCAGGTGCACACGAGAATGTTGTCCTCGCGGTGTTTCGTGGTCCGTAATTTTGCGAATGCGCCGTGTCGCCAATCCGACGACGCACGCCTCGATTATTCTACGAGCCAACGATTTTTTGTTAGCGGTTTTTATTATCTGTTTGTAACACACGTTCGAAGTTCGCTGACAAACGGTAAGTATTTTCTTTTGACAAACTGGATCTTGAAATGCGGGAATTGTTTTTAAATTTACGGCGCCGCAACTTTGGTTTGTTTTCACCTAATCCTTAGAACGATATTTCGTATCTATGGTGGCCGTTGCAAGCGGTTAAGGGTTAGGGTTTGTTTCGCCATTTTGAAGGGGGAGGAAAACCGGTTGTTCGCGTAATACTCGTTATATCTCCTGTTTTCTTGTCCTTCAGTTTAGAATATGGATCCGAACATGGCCATAATGCACCCCACGGGACCGGTGATGCACCCCGTCAGTCTGATGCACCCGAGACGCGGTAAAAATCCCAAACACACGATGACGAGCACCATAACCCTCGCGGAAGAGGCGAAGCTCGTTTACTCGCAGGAAATGTCCGGGATAAACAGCAAGACACCGGTGTCCGTTCTCCAAGAGTTGCTGAGTCGCAGGGGATCCACCCCGAAGTACGAGCTGGTGCAAATCGAAGGGGCGATCCACGAGCCGGTTTTTAGGTACAGGGTGTTTTTGAGTAACGACCTTGTGGCCACCGGTACCGGTAGGTCCAAGAAGGACGCAAAGCACGCCGCTGCCAAAAACCTCCTGGACCTGATTGTCGGGAAGCAGACGCCCGAGCAGGCCAATCAAACGAACGGGACTCCAGGGTCCAACGATATGTAAGTGTTTACCGCCCCTGGGCTCATTTCGCAGGAGAACTTTAGCAATCTTTGGTTAGGTTGGTGTTTCTCTGATAATGTGCTGTTGAAGTTTTACTTTTCTGTCTTTGTGAAAACCATTCAATGTTAATTTATTTACAGATTTTGATTCCGATAATTGTTTTTCCAAATTCCAAAAACTGTAGTCTGGCCAGACTGACAGCATCATTGGGTAGCTTAGTTAGTAAATCGGTCTAGAGAAAATGGTGGAATTTTTTTTATGTAAGATTGCCTTCTGTTAACCATGGTTAGAGTACCATTTTAAAGCTGGAGCAAATTGAAAAAAATTTATTTAGTGCTCTGTCTTCTATATCCAAAAGGGAACTGGAAATTTTCGGAAATAAATATCGATAACAACAAAATAGCTTTTGTTAGGCTGCCGATTTCTATTGTAGTCGACGAAAAAGTCGGAAAAGGAAACAAATGTGCATAAAACTATATTCACTTTCGCGCTTTCTTCATACACTTAAAAGTTGCTAAAATAATTGTATCAAGAATTCTCTCGATTCCGTTAAAAAACACCCATTTAAATTTTCAATATATTTTTTTATTTATGGAAGTTTATTATGTTTAATGCATTTTTAGATCATTTTTTGCATGTAAAATATCAAAATTGTCGTCAAAAATGTGTTTATCTGTGTTTAAGTGTGTAGCATAATTAGAATCTAGACTATTGTTTTTAAAGGCTCTTTTATGTTCGTTAATGCGTTTCTTGAAGGACCTACCTGTTTGCCCAATATAAATTTTAGGACACGATCCACATTTCAACCTGTAGACACCTGATTTTTGGGATTTTGGACATTTCGTTTTATTGTTTTTTAAATATCTTCCTATTGTGTTATTAGTTCTGAAAGCTATTTTTAAACCCCATTTTGACAAATGTTTTGTTGGACGGATTGTAGCCGTTGTTCAGTGCAATTTGTTTAATGATATTAAGTTTTTTGATGTAATTTTCTGTTGAGGGTGGCGTATTAAGAAGTTAGCGTACATAAGGGTGATTTGAGCTGATATGTATGACGTGTGTCCTTGTGTCAAGGTTTATCATATATTGAAAAATCTAATTTGTTTTGCGCTTTGGTAATAGTTAAGTCTAAAAAACTAATAGAGTTGTCCTGTTCAATCTCGATAGTGAATTTTATGCGATTATGAAATGAATTAATTTAAAAAATAATTGTCTGCCCCCCTCCAGCAGAGCAAGCAAAGACATTATCCACGTATATATGCCACCATAAAAAACTTTTGTGGGTTTCCCATAGTCATAGTCATAGTCAAACCTTCCTTAGAGATATAAATTGGTTGATTAAATTCAAAATAATTTTGGTCTAAAGATACTATTAAGCAATCTAATAAATCTTGTTTCACCAATGGGTTAACCTGTGTCCGAGTTAGGGTTAAATCTACTAAATCTATGACATCCATAGGTGATATACTGGGAAATAAGTTTTGTACATCAAAAGTGTTTGCGTTAGAAGGGATTTTGATATCTTTAATTTTGTTGATCAATTCAAAATAATTTTTTATCGCGAATTTGGTTTAAATTTTTCGTTTTTCAACAGTACCGCCCAGGTGGTGTCGCCGTTCGACGACAAGGTGATGGGCAACCCGATCGGGTGGCTGCAGGAGATGTGCATGTCGCGCCGCTGGCCGCCCCCGCTCTACGAGATGGAACACGAGGAGGGTCTCCCGCACGAGCGTCAGTTCACCATCGCGTGTCAGGTGTTGAAGTTTCGCGAGGTCGGCACCGGCAAGTCGAAGAAACTGGCCAAACGGGTCGCCGCCCACAGGATGTGGCAGGCGTTGCAGGACCTGCCGATAGAGGGCACCAACCCGCAGGCGTTCGAAAGCGACGAAGAGGTTGGTACCGCGCCCCTTTTAAGAAAAATAATTCGTTCGTATGGAAAATAAGCGTCTCAGTCCGCAGGATTGTACAAGTGACCTTAGCAAGGCCTTCGACCGCATTTGTCACCGCTTGCTGCAGAAACAATTGTAGTAAATATGGGGTACGAAGACTTGCATTGGTTCTTGTTAAGTCATACCTGTCTTCTAGGAGACAGTACCTTGGCTTGATGTCGATGTTGAAATTATGACGTAAAAGCTCGCGATTTAACAAAAACTTTAATAAGCCTTACCTAAAATTTGGTATGCAGGAAGACACTCTAAATCGATATATATATATATATTGAAATAAAAGATTTCGAAAAATTGAAAGACATCAAAGGACCTTGTAAATTTGATAATTGATGTGCACCAAGGAACAAATTTGAAATAATTGCTAGCCAAGGTTGAAAAAAGGTCACTAACTAGGCCGTTAAGAAGAAGAAGAAGAAGAAGAAGAAGAACGAAATTCGAAGGCGAGAGTTAAAATTAAACAGTTTTTTAAACTAAAAATATGCGGTACTAAGTTATCGAATTTCTTTTCGATTTTTTTTTATGTTTGTGATCGCGGCCGCCAATAAAATTTTATTTATTTACATTTGTGGAAATAGATAGTTTTCCTGGTGTAATGGGGTGTATTGACTGCATTCGCATGGCCAAATATATACATACGAGGGCGGCGCCAAAATTTCCCGGCCCGAATATGAAAGAAACAAAGTAGAGTAACAATTTTTTATTATTTTTCAATATAATCCTCCTTAACTTCAATACACTTATTACATCTCTTTATTAACAACTCAATCCCTTTAAAAATATATTCTTTTGGTTTGTCCGCAAAATGAACTAAAACAGCCTGTTTTAACTCAACTTCGTCGTTAAACAGCCGTCCACGTAAGTCCTTTTTCAAATATCCAAACAAATAATAGTCGCTGGGGGCCATATCTGGACTATAGGGAGGATGATCTATCTGATGGAACCCATAGTCTAAAATGGATTATCGTGCAAAAGACGTACGCCTCTGGTCAGTTTTCCTCGACGTTTTACACGTATGCAGTCTCGCAATTTATGTAATAATGTTGCGTAATATTTGCCATTGACGGTGGTATTAGTTTTTTTAAATCCATCAGAAGAATTCCTTCACAATCCCAAAAGATCCTGGCCATCACATTTTTTGTTGACTGGCAGACTCTGAATTTTCTTAATTTTCTTGGAGGTGCTTCACCCAAGCGACGCCACTCCATTGATTCTTTTTTCGATAGAGAACCATAGTTTCATCTCCCGTCGCAATAGGCTTCGATTCCGACGGGCAGAGTTCCAAAAAAATCCGCTCACACTCGACAAGGCGTTGTTTTTGAATAGCCGAAATGATTTTAGGAACCCATCTTGCACTACATACCTAAATGATCATGCAGGATTCCACGAACACTTCTATCAGAAATCTTAGTAATTTTTGAGATTTCCTTGACCTTTAAACGTCGATCACTCAAGGGACTCCTGCCTCATTCGAAAATGTTTTGCCCATTCTTTCACTACAGAATACAAAGGAGAACTTTGGCTGTACATACCATCCAGCCTTTCTTTAATAATTTTAGGTGCTAACCCTTCTTTTGTCAAAAACTTTATGACTGCTCTATACTCAATTTGCGTTGTGTGCGACATTTTTTCGAACACGTCTTGTTTAAAATGCTGTCAATAAAAAATGATTTGACGCAAGCCTTCAATTTTCTTTTCGCAGCCTACTAAGATATACATTTAATAGAAACTTTGTCTTTATCGTGATACTGAAGCTGCATCTATGTCGGGCCGGGGAAATTTTGGCGCTAACCTCGTATATAGAACATATTTAATTTATATTTCATAGTTTATATATTTAATAACATTTTTGGAATATTTTGACTTATTATTTGTCCGATTGCAAAATAAAAACATCTATCGCAGTACGTAAAACAAACAGAAATGATTAACAATGATCAAAATTTTTTTCATTTCAATTGCTGCAATGCAATTTTTTTCAACATTTCAATCCAATTCATTATTGAAAAGTGAAAGTGATATTTATTGAGTTTTCAACATTGGTATTAAAGTCTTACTTACTGCATACTAAATCGAGTTCTTATATGCTTGTTCGCAAAAAAAAACAGACAATTAAAAAAAAAATTGAACTGCATATTTTTCACCTTAAGTATGCTATTGAAAATAAATAGGTGACAAAGGAATTAAATAATGAAAATTTTGGTGGTGTCTGAGATTATTGGTATCGTTTTTATAACATAATTTGAAATTCGTTACTAGTGGCTGGACCTTTTTGGTTCCGGGACCTGCAAATTTGGCTGTCTGAGGTCGTTGCACAGCGGGAGGTTTATAAAAAAAAAGAAAACACTGCGACAATCATTATTTCTTTTTTTTTTTGGCATATTTTTGGCATTTTTTGCGAGTATAGGTCAACCAGGGAGGATACGATTCATTGTTTCATCGTAGTAACCGACACTTTGAGTCTATTGCGTTTTTTAGGATATTTTTTGAGTAGTATCGAGCATTAATGGCCTGTGCCGCGACTATTAGGCTTTCTGTCTGACCCTTAAGATTTCCTTTCGCTAGCCATCCGTAGGTGCATCTGGGATTTATTTCTTGGTCTTTGTTTGTTTATTCCTCCCCTCTGTTTTCAGTTCACTCGATATTTTCGCTTTTGTTTCTCTTTTCTGTTTTTCTTCCGTATCATCCCGGTTTCTTGGCAGCCCTAATGATATTCTGAAGTTTAGTTGTCGATTTTTTCTTAGGCATATATTCTTAGTAGATTTACATATATGTCTGTTATTCTTCTAAGTTGAATATAGCCGACTTGAAAGCCCCCCCCCCCCCCCTGCTTCCTCGATACATATAATCTGTGTATGTCGCCTATTGGGTGTGGCATTCCGTACATATTAAGAAGTTTTCTGGTTCCACTATCTAGAGTTCGTATTTCCTCTGAAGTCAATAAATAATTCCAAAACTAAATTTTTAAAATCTGTCGATCGCGTTTTCGGTATTCCTTGATCAGTTGATTTCAGATTGCGTTTCCTTTGTTTACATTCTTCCAGGATATACTTCGACGCAACCTTTAGATTCTCTGCAGCGGCCTTTTTGTTCTAAGGCTAGTATCGCGTTCGTATCCAGAAACTCTTGAAATCTGGTTGTTAAAATGCTTGTAAATTGTTCTAAATGGTGCATAGGCGGGTAATGGCCTGTAGTGTTTTACGTCGTTTGTGTTTTCGTTCTTAGAGAGCAATAACGTCCTACGTCTACAATTATTTAGAAAAATTTTTAGAATTTTAAAAGGAATTCAAAACAAAATTTAAATATAGGGATTCAGTTTTTTTTTAAAAATGCACGTTTTAATCGTCGCGCCTTTTCCAGCCGCCCTGTATACATCCTAACATTTTCTAAGATCGCGTAAAGAACTTTGCTCTACCCTTGACTCACCCTGTACGGCGTGTCCTAATTTTGATTATTTCGCGGCGTTCCTCCCATATTTCGTGACCGAAGGCCAACTTTTTTCGTGAAAAAATTTGAAAATTTCGCATTTTTTACACACGCCCCGTAGTTCGGTTATGCGTCAACGTGCCGAAAAAGCCAAAACCTATCTTGAACGGTTTTTTTTTTTTTTTTTTTTTTTTTTTCGTAACATCGAGTGACGTAGAACCTGGAACTCACAAATTTTGATGAAAAAATATTCAATGATTATTTTTCGAAAGTTTGGCGTGCATTAAAATTTGCGAGTTCCAAAAGGAAGACGTGGAAAAACCCTTATTGGTTTTCAGATAACCGAACCGCGAAGTGGTCAGATTCAGAATTGAAATGGGCCATATACTTGAACCAGAAATATAGTGCTTTTACAACCGACCTCGTGATTAACTTTGCCTACTGTTTATTAGTCCTAGGAGTTTATCTATCTATATTAACAAGCGGGATATAAGTACATTTTAAAGTGTTAAAAACCTTCAAACAACGTTTCATTTTAAGATTCTGATAAATGTTTCTTATGACGTACCTTTATCTATGGCGAATATGATCTATATATAGACTGTTGTTGTTTACAAATCGAAGAACTATGTAGAAGTCACAAAAATATAATACCGGCGCACAAGACTTACTCTTATCCTTTGAACTATCCAGTGAAAACAGCCTGGCAGGATCAAAGCTCGAGAATTAGGTATTTAATGGACGGAACCTTCTTAATATATACGAATATATTGCAATTTAGATGAAACTCTTAAGAACGATACGTATCACCCGATGTTAAAATAAACGCTTCTATCTGTTCGGATAGGTTTTACCACGGTCCCGCGTTTAAGGTACCGTAAAGTACTTAAAACGTCAAAGCAATAAACGCACTATATTTTTGGTCGTACAATACTTACGCGTCCCGCATTTCGATTTTGAATGTGTTGTTGCAGCTTGGCGGGAACGCAGTGGACGTGTCCGCCCGCTACATCGGCCTGAAAGACAGCAAAATTACCAAGCTGAGCAGTCAGCAGTCGCAAAAAGTGTCCCAGTTCCACAAGGGCCTGAAACAGTCGGCCGGGAAAAAATTAAACGAACTCCAGGTAATTGGTCGGGCGAAAAAAAAAAGATTTAAGCGTGGTTCACGAACACCGTGTGCCGAATAAAAATAATTTTCTATTCGAAATTTGCATATAAAATTGCCTTGTGGTCACTTGTTGATAATATTAGGTATTCTTTAAATAAAAAAGACACGATACTACTTCTTTAAAAGAAATAATACTTTCATATATGCGAATAAAACGTATTGCTAATAATACAGGGTGTCCATTGATACGTGGAGATTCTGAGAAAAATCGACTCTATACTACACACTTTAAGAGATTGAACAAAACTTCAAAATTCATATAAACTTAAACTTATTTGAAATACAAATAAAATATATACTAACAAAAAATTTGACAACTATGAACTTTTTAAATAGAAATATGATAAACAACAAAAACAAACAAAAATGTCAAAGTTTGTTTATACCTTAAAGCGTCAAAAAGAAAAAGATTGTGATGTCATAGCCAACTACGTTTTTAAATATTTTGATATTTTTTTATTGTTTTGATGCCAGATGAAACGAGCATTTTAAGAGGAACATTTTCAACTGAACTTTATGAACCAGGGTGGGAAAAGAGTTTTTATCTCTTTTTTTTTTTTGTTCTCAGTACCTGGACCTCAAAGAGTTCAGCTTCGTGCAGTTCCTGCAGGAGATCGCGTCCGAGCAAAACTTCGAGGTGACGTTCGTCGACGTGGAGGAGAAATCCCTCGGCGGGCAATGCCAGTGCCTGGTCCAACTGTCCACGTTGCCGGTGGCGGTGTGCTTCGGCACGGGCAAAACGCCCAAGGACGCGCGCTCGAACGCCGCCCTCAACGCCCTCGAGTACCTCAAGATCATGACCAAGAAGTAAGGGGGCGTGGCCGCCGGGTGGCAGGTTAAAAAAAAGCAAAAATTTTCCCGCGCGTCCGCCATTGTGTTTCCCGTGCGAAAAGGAACGCCGCCGCCGCCGCCGTCGCCGCCGCCCCTCGTCGCTGGCGGCGGGTGGTCGGGGTCGTCCCCCGCAACCCCCTTCCGACTCTTCCGCTTTCTTCATCTTCGGCGCGCGGACCGGAGACGCGGGCGGGCCGTTTGAGGTGCGAACCTTTCGAAAAAATATTTCCAAAAACTTGTTTACTTTGTTTTCTTTTTAGTTTTTTTTTTTTATTTTGTTTTGTTGTCCTTCCAGTTAGTTATGTCGGTTTTTTTTTGTTTCTTGGTTTCTTGCTTTCCTTTTTGCCGCATCTTAAATTAACTAAAAATTTTGTCCATGAAAGAGTGTTTAACGACTTTTTTCTAAATGTATTTTATTGTTCTTTCAGTTAGTTATATCAATCCAATATTTTTTTTACTTTGACGTTTCTCTTTTTCATTTTTTTTTTATTTAAACGAATTGTTGACGACTTCTTCATTCTGTTTTGTTTTATTTCACTGTTCTTCCAGTTGAATCATTTTTGTTTGGTTTTCATTCCTTTTTGCCTCAGCTTGACTTTAAGCTTGACTTTAATTTTCTTTTTAACCGAAGTTACCGTTAGAATTTCCACGGGTTATCCATTTTCTTTTTGTCTTTCATTCTATTTTGTTAAATGGAAGTTTCTTTTACCGTTCTTTCAATTAGAGGAAAAAAATTATAATTGACACCAAGGCTTTGTTGAGCTTTGGCTCCTTCCTCCCCAACAATTATCTTTATTTTTTTTTAATTTTGCTTCGATTATCTTTTTTTTTGCCAAAAACTTTTTACTTCTTCGTTTTCTTTTTACCGAACTGACATATTCTCTATTTTTTTCCATTCCATTTTATTAAATGATTTTCCTTCCCTCTTACTTTCCGTATAGCAGGGATTTTTGTTTTATCTTTTTTGCTTTGACTTTTTTTTTCGCAACGAATGTTACCGTTAGAATTTTGACCGGCTTTTTTCATTTAATTTTTTTTTAATGTAAATTTATTTAAAGGTAAGAGGCAAAAAAAAATTTTGGTGTGTGTTTTTTTTTTCAGTTTAATGAAACGTTCAGATTTCGCACCGGAAACGGCCCGGACGCGACGTCCGAGGGAAAACATGTATGTAAAGGAGGAGAATGACGAGTGGTTTTTTACAAGCTATACTTTGCATAGAATTAGTGTTTTTTTTGTGGATAATAATGAATAATAATAATTTAATTTCGACTTTTAGAATGTATTGTGTGACTATAATATATATATATACGAGCTAGAGTAATTTTGCGTAGGAGGAGGAGGGCGTTCGGTTCTTCTTTCGTAGATTTAAAAAAAAAATGTCCCTAGACGTTTTAGCTGCTTGTATTTAAAAAAAAAAAAAATACGTGTACATATATGCCCCCAGAAGCATACGTCTTGTTCGTGTAAAGGGAGCATTTATTTGATGCAAAGTATAGAGGTTGTATCCCGTTATTGACAGTGTAATTTTTTTTTTCACGATCACGTTTATAAAATAATAATAATTAACATATATGTCAATGGGTCCGCTTTAGTCGGATCGAAAATTTCCTAGACTCTTAGATTTATCTGTTCAACTTGTATTGATGTGTATGCTAATTACAGTACGTTTGAATGGCGCTTTTTGGTTTTTCGCTCTTTCCCCCCACCCCCTCGCCACAAATTGCGGCGTGGTAAACTACGGCCATTATGGCCAGAGATATCGAGAGAGTGATATAAAGCAAACAGCTAGTTAAAAAGTATGAAAAATATAAGGCATTTTAAGAAACAAACACAATACAATATCAGTTATTGTACGACCAAAAATATAGTGCTTTGACGTTTTGACATTCCGACAGATATTTGTACAGCGTTAAGTAGGTCTTGCCTGACGAATATTTTTGGAAACTTGAAATTTTTATTTAAACCGTAAACGGACCTTTTTAAATTCGATTGAGCGTTGTAGAAAGAAGCGTTTATTTTAACATCAGGTGATATGTACCGTTCTTAACCCATATTATCCCCAGCATAAAAAAGAAATAAAAAAATACTTTTTTGCTCTGAAATTATTTATTTTGTTGCACCTAAGAATACATTACGTGCGTCAAAAAAATAAAAACTGGAAACATACAAAAAAATACTGGTGCGTAAACGAACCACTGGAAAAAAACATTGAATAATGTTTTGCGGCACATGAGACGTAACATATTATTTATGCATAAATATACAAAAGAAAGTTCAAATTCGACAAACAAGAAGTAAAAGTAGAATGTTTTTCAAATAGACCTGATTTGATACAAGAAAACGCATATTTTATGGTGTGTGAGCGCACCACTGGTAACACACGGTTTCATTATTGGTGATATTTTACAAAGCACGAAGTATGTAAATGCACAAACGTAAATTGTGTGGCTGTGGCAGATTCTACATCTCCTTCGGGTTTGCATATATTACGGAGATATTTGACTGTGATCCTTCCAGTAAGGACGTATTTACACTAGGCTGTTTTCACTGGATAGTTCAAAGGGCAACGGTAAGTACCTGTACCCTATTTATCTTACAGGTAAGTTTGAAAATAAATTAACAACACATTTCTTTTATTTTTGTGTCGTCTACATATATATGGCCACTTGTGATGAGTATAATTATATAAATACGCTCATTATTCATAAGATAGGACAGTCTTTAAGTCGCTTTGCGTCAGTAAATACCGTGTGTATACAAAATAAATATCGTGTTAAAAAATAATAATAAATTGGAGCAGTCGGTAGGATTAAAAATGATCTTATTATATTTTACGTACTCCTTATTTTTAACAAGTCTTATGATCTCTACCGTTTATACCCCATACCAAAATATCCGTTATAAATAACCCCGATCTTTTGAAATCGATAGAGGATTTCTTTAATCTAAAGGAAAACTGCTGTAAAATCGAGAACATGTCCTTATGCCCTAGCAATCTGCTTGATAAAAACGAGCCCTGTATTCCACAAACAATTAATTTATCTAATCATTGTCCAATGATTCCAAATGAATATAAAAAAGCCTCAGCTACTCAATTAAATGATAACTCTATTATAGTTATCCCGAATTCCCCAGAAAATATATATTTCCGCAGAGTGTAATGTTAAAATTGAAAATAATAATTATGACTCAAAAAGGAGATTAATTTAAGACTAAAACTTACGTGAATTGGTTCAAAATATTGAACCACTACAGTTGAGAGAAATTAATCTTCAAAATATAAAAGAAGACATGGAAAGTGCCCGAAACCTAGTAAATCACTAGTAGTATTTCAATTGCTGTAATAATTATTAAAATTACTCTAATAGTAATTATTGAATTTTGTTATCAATACCTGAAAAGAAAACAAAATGTAAATGAGGAGAAGGGAGTTACATGGCCACTTCTGATGTGCATCATTCATAAGATACGACAGTCTTTAAGTCGTTTTGCGTCAGTAAATATCGTGTGTTACTTGTAATATAATTAAAAATCGTTCATAAAAATGAAACAACAAAATTGTTCTCCGATTTGTAAACAACAGTCTATAGATTATATTCGATAAATTCCATTTTAAGGGTTTGTTCGGTAGGCTCGATTGTAAAAGCACTACAATTCTGGTCGAAGTATACACTATTTAAATACCTAATGCCTGGTTAATAATAAATTATTAATTATGAATTAATAATTAAATATTAATATTTTAATATTAATTAAATTAATTAATTTATATTAATAATTAATAATATATAATTTATTATATTTAATTTATTTAATTAATAAAGGTCACAAAATCTGGTATTTTGACAAAAACATAATGTTTTATTGCCCGAAAGGCTCTTCCACGGGCTGTAATACAATTTACAAATGTTCTCGATGTTTCCTGAAAATCATCCCGTTATTTGCTTCAGTTCCGAAACCCAAGTCCAAAGGGTTTCAATGGTATCACATCCTATGCCCAGTAAATTTGTCCTACGTACGCCATTCTAAATAAAAGCCCGCCACAAAACGTTATGTTTAATGCTCTTTGAAGATAATTCAGAAACTTTTCTGTCCTTGAAATTATTTCTAACCTCAGTTGAGTTTAGCGGTCCTGAGCCCTAACTGTCATGAAATTGAAATTATTTCAAAGTACACAGAGTGGCTCAAAAAGCGCCACGAATACAACATGCGTTTGTTAACCCTATTTTTAAATTTTGATTTGAATTCCTTTTAAAATTCTAACCTCAAAAAATCTAAATAAAAAAAACATAATACTAAATTTCTCGCTAGATGACGTTAAAAGATGCAGCAACATACATGGTGGGCCATTTAAGGAAATCCATCCAAATATGTTCGTTTATTTAGAACACCCTGTAGCATCTAATTCAAATTCGCTAATATTAAAATATTGGAAAAACTATTACGCTTAGGTATGTATTATTATTGCAAAAAAAAATGTTGTATTCGTCACGTTTCTTTTTAGCCACCATTTTATTAGATTATTATTTTAATATATATTTTTACCAAAAATTCAAAAAATATAAAGCAAACTTTTATTGAATGTTCATCATCATCACATATAAATAATTTTAATTGTTGGCCTGTTTGTTTCTTAAGGGTTTAGCTGAAGTCCACTGCACTAAATAAAACCAAGGTGATAATAAATACTCGCCTATATTAAACAATATTTAAAATAACATTTATATATGTACATACGCGGATAATCTTTTTAAAACGGAAACTAATATATAAGTTGATGGCACGTCGAAACCTCTCGTCGATGACAGACTCTGTAACGCACATTCACACCCACACGCTTATGTATCCATATACAGGGCGTCTCAAAAACGCCTCCCCAAATTTAACATTTCCATTCGATTTTTTTTTCATAAATCAAATTTTTAACCGCAAAGCAATAGAATATTCTTTGACATAAAAGTTACCATTTCAAATTAAACAATCTGTATTTTCTGAAATCCTTGGTTTTGTCCGCACATTTTATAGACGCCCTGTGTATACAAAGTGAATCATGTTGAGTGACCTGTTTGAAGTTCTCTTTTTTTTAAATATTTACGTACCAATTCAATTTGAAACGGAAAACGGCGGAAAATCAAATGAAACGCCATATCCCGAGCGATGGGATCGACGACTTTCATTTAATTTTGGTAATCTTTCCTTCCAACCAGGCCCATTCAAATTCAAAGTTTTGAAAGTCATACTTTATTAGAACCCAAAATTAAATGAAAATGAGGTTTTACGAAGTTTATTTTGTCTATGTTACAACAATTTTTAATTGTTATTGAATAAACTGTGTTTCCGGAACCACCCTAATCCAAAACCTGTTCCCAGAAGTTCCGCAGAACTTTTCAAACTTGTTCAAGGGTGGTAATTGCTTCAAAATTTCCGAAGTTATTTTTTATTTCGACAGATAACAAGGAAACCGCGCAAGATGTTGCCACGTTTAAATAGAAGCGGCAACACTGCATATTTGAAAATATTTTCAAATCTGTGCGCTACCTGGTCACGTATTGATCCCAGCTAACCTCTGTGAAATTTTGTAATGGCTAGGTAAAATGGTGCGTAAATCCAGAAAACGTACTAACGTACACAGTGTGCCAAATAAAACGACCCACTATATGATCTGAAAACCTATAGGAGAGAGGAAAAAAGTTTTGGTTAATATTTCTATTTAAATAGTTCATAGCCGTCATGTTTTTTGTTAGCATATATTTTATTTGTAGTTTTGAAGTTTTATTAAATCTATTAAAGTGTAGAGTCAATTTTTCTCAAAATTTCCACGTATTAATGGACACCCTGTATTGTTAGCAATAGGTTTTATCTGTATAAGCTGAGGCGCATCTGCCAAACTGATTCGATAGTGCACCATCTCCTTAGTCTGTGGTTAAATTTTCATTGCAATACCTGCATCAGTAGCGTTCACAGCACAATTTTTTATGGGGAAATCAAAATATGAAAAAAAAAACACATAACCTCAATTTCTGCCCCAATTATGCAAAATTCGAATAAGAAATTTCGTAAGAAAGTGACCTTTATTTTAACCGAGGATTCCAAAAATATCGATATATACAGGGCGTTCAATTTAAAATAACAAACTCAACAAAATTATAATATTTTAAATCTTCAGGAGAGTCCAAGAAACTTTTTTCGTATCTCCTACGGGTTTCTGGATCGTATAGTGGGTCGTTTTATTTGTCACACGGTGTACATTTGAATTTCCAGTGTTGTCGTTTGTTTCGAGTTGAATTGGCACGCGTACCAAATTAAAAGAAAAACCGTATTGTAGCTCTAATGCGACACTCAACGTGAGACACACAAATATAGTTTTCCTTTGGGGAGGGGGGAGCGGGGTCAGGGGTGGGGAATCAACAAAATACTAAGGCGAATTATGTACAATCGAATTAACAAAAAATAATAATAATAATAAAAGACAATTTCGAGCAACGAGCCCCCCCTCCCTCCCCAACCGACGAAAATACCTAAATATTCACAGCCTCTCGAATCGTCGCATGGTTATAGCGCTTCCTCTTCCTCTTCTTCACCGGACCTTTCGGACGACTAGAATGACGCGGAACGATCGAACGGATCCTTTGTTTATAGCCGCTTGCCAAAAATCGGGCGTCGTAGGTTTTTGACTGTATCCCATGCGCTGTTGCCAGTTGTATCGAAAAGTGGCGGTTTTTCGGTTATCTCTATAGTTGATTATTTAGAAGGTTGACGGTTTGGCCTCGATCTTTCAGGATCTTGGAAACTCGGTTAAATTCGAATTTTGAAAATGTACACGGCGCTCTATACTCAAGTGGTAAATTGAAGTTTTCGAAATAAAAGCGCTTTTCTAATAAAATTTAATCATTCTGAGCGTAAGGTAACCGTGAAACGCCATGATGTACCATGGTATGTTTTATTCAACAAAAACACCAAAATTTAATTAATGATTTTGACGAATTGATAGGCAAAACAATCAAAACTGTTTAAAAATAATTGAAAAAAAAAAAAAAGGTGCACATTTTAATAAAAGCTCAAACCGACTGACGGCATTCGATACTTAGAATTTTAAGAATAGAACGAAAACATGCCCTTTCTATTTAAAATAAGAAATTTTGGTAGTTTACGGAAAAAATCGTAAATGTGACAACGTCGCCTGCGTCGGATCCAGCCTAATTAGAAACCCCCCGTATATTGAGTTATGAAATATATGAATGATTAAAATCTGAAAAACGGAGAAAATTTTACTGAAATCCGAGAAGTTTGAAGGAATAATATGTAGCCTGTGTAAATAAAAGTAGCCATATTTGTTGGAAGCTTGGTTGGTGTCTCAGTAAAAAGATCCTGAAAAAATAATTTTGAATATGGTAAAAGATGTAATAGTAGATTTGGAAATTTCAACATTCTTCTTCTCGACCTAATTGAATGGCCCTCATATAGTCCAGACCCGAACCCCATAGAAAATCTGCGCCTACGCGAATCTAGTTTTGTGCAATAAATATTATTTCTTTACGGCTGTACATGCAAGCTAGGTTTGCGCATTTCAAAAAGCAGAGTATGAATAACCAGCACCAGTTTTTCTTAATTTACAACCTCCCAAACCCGAAATAAAAGTAGGGTTATGTTTATCAAAGTAGGGTTATCATTTTACTTTATAAGAAAAAGATAATCGCTTCATTGGAAACTGACTATCTTGAAAAATTAATATATATCACGTATATATGAAACCGAAACAACTTTTCGTGAAAACTCAACCGGATATTTACCGAAGAATAATTTTACATTTGATTTCGTTTATGCGTTAGAAATATTAAGAACTGGCTGCTTTTGTACGGTAAAAATTGCTCATTTGCGTTTTTTTTCAACAACAATGATCGGAAAGTGCCAACGGGGAAAAACAAAAATGGGGGACGGTCAAAAAACCTACGCGACTACAAGCAATGCTGTAAAAAGAATCCACCCGATCGGGAACGACAAAATTGCGGAAAATATCACAATCGTTATCTGGGAATCGGCGAACGCTCAAACTATACTTTCTTTCTCGGATTTGAGGCTCAGGTTGTTGTAGTCGGCCAGCACGTTTTTTTTCAGCGACGTGCGGCTCGACTTGAAGCCGTTACCGCTGAAGAGCCCGATCAGCCAGTTCCGAAACGTGTTTTTCGAGTTGAGTTTTTTGTCGTCGCCGTCCGGCGCCGGACGTCGGGCCTGCGGGATCGGATCCAACGAGTGCCATCTGTCAAACAAAAATATAGAGTACTTCAGTTCAAATGTACGGTACATTTGAACTACTTCCGTTTTTGTAGAGTACCTTTTTTAATTAAAAAAAACTGGAAGTAGTTCAAATGTACCGTCGAGCGAGATCGCAAGCCGACCAATTGCAACCGGTAGGTTTCTTTTTATGCTATGGTATGGTCTATTCATAGATAAAGAAAGTGACCAATTGCTTTTGAATGGGGTTATAAAAGGATGGTCATTAACATACAATGCAACAATGTTATTACCTAAAATTTCGGAATTTAAATTCAGGTAAAATTGTGGTCCGTAATAGAAAATAATTTTATACCTACCTGTGTTTAATATTTTTTGGTTTGGTATACTGTTTAGTTTAAGTTTATTAGTAATCATTCTTATTTAGTGTGTAATACAGCGTGTGTCGGATCGTGTGCGAATTATGCAAAATATGGGCGAGTCTAATGTATCTCAGGAGATGCTCCCGCCCAAATGTAAAAAATCACTATCCTATTGAGACTAAGGAAGTTATAAACAATGTTTATTTGACTCTCGTTGAACGTGGTGCCAGCAAGAAACCATCTTTAGAAGAAACGGCCACATTGACGAAAATTGTGAATAATCGCCATCAAAAAGAGGTAAAAGAATAACTATTTTGCATGCTGGCTCTAAAGATGGTTGGATTTCAAATATACTTTCTCTGTCTGCGAAAAATATTCTCTGGATTACCATGAAGACACCACCGCTGATTTATCCATCCAGCGCTGCGAAAACACTTGAAACGTCGACAACGGCATGTAGTGCATCTACTTTCGGCAATAAAAAAAGTTTATAAGTTGCACAAATGCCTTTCATATTTCGGGATATTCTTAAACTAGTGCTGCCATCTGCCGACTAACGTTTTTATAGGGAAGTTTGACATTTTGACGTTAGGTTTTGGCGGGAGAGTGTTGTTCGTGTTTTTTGTGATGAATTAAAAAAATTGCGACTGTTAAAAATGGAACTTTAGACGTGTACTAACTCGACAACAATTTTGGAGTTCCGGCCGACTTCGACGATTGGTTTTATCGTATGCAAAAGTGTTATCGGTCATCGGGGTGAATAATTTGAGGAACAATAAAGTCATATTTGTCGGTAGCTTATAGTTTTTGTTTTATTACAAATCCCGAAATATATATCGTAGTATATCAAGACTCCTTACCAGAACAAAGAATATTGAAGTTATGCAAACTAACCAAAACCACCATACGGCCCTCTCCTGTTGCCAAAACTCAAGAAACCCTAGTAGTTAAGACAAAAATCGTGGGAAGAACTGAAGGCAATTATATAATGTTTTACGTTTACGTTGCCGGTCTAGAGGGAGCTGCGATCGATGTTCGCACACTAAATTACAAAAAAAAAACGCAAACGAACCTCTTGTGACGCTCTGTGTCGGGGTCGTCTAGTTCGGCCCCGCCCCTACGTCTGACGACTACGGCGGGCGCGTCGCGCGCCCTCTGCGGGTTCAGAAGCGGCACCTGCGCGTCCTCCGGGAAGGTCACCTCGTCGACGATGCTCGCGAGGTTCCCGTTGGGGAAGTTATTATTGGCCAACTTGTCGGTCGGTATGGCGATGATCTGAATACCGCCCCCGGGGTATCGGTGGCAGTTTTCGAGGCTCCTAGCGGAGCGGCGTCGCCCGCCCCTCAGGAACGAGTCGATCAGGTCGAATTGGCGGTTCTGTCGCGGCAACGCGTCCAGCGATTTCGCTTCGCGGACGAGACCGACCGGCCCCGCCCCCCTGCACGGTTCCTCCGAACTCGACGCGATGCTGGAAAGGACGCGTTTGTGGCGGGGCGCGGGAGCCGGTGCCGTCTCCGGCGGCGCCTCGATCGTTTGACTCCCGAAGGCGGAGTTTAACGTCAGTTTGGAATCGGACGAAGGGACGTAGAGGCTCTGCTTGGTGACGCGCAGGAGATTGCGATGAACGGTAGGACTGTAGCGTTCCAGCGTCGACGAGCTGTCGACGTCTACGCTGGCACCTGGTAACCGTTTCTCCGATATACGACGAAAACTTTTTACACTCTCTCCGTTAAATTAGAAAAAAATGTTAAATACGATTTACAAATCATCTACATGCCTATATACGGTTTGAGGGGGGCGGAGCTAAAAGAGAGGCATGAACATTTTCTTGGATGACTGAATACCGCAACGGTGAAAGATAAGAATTTCGAGTCGAGGATAAAATTGTTTATTTGTCACGGTCTAAGGCTCTTTCATGGTTGATATTTTTCGTCCGATCTCTGGAATGTGTATGAAATACTGCAGACTGCTGTCTTTATCTCTAATGGTTGTAATTCTGGGTTTGGTTAAAGAAACTTCCACATTATACCGCAATATTATTTTTCTACTCCCGTCAGTAAAATGCCTAATTACACACCAGCGTGCGATAAGGGTCACTTTGCCATGTCAGTTTCGTTTACCCACGGATCCGAGCCACTTCGGATGTTTCCGGGATTTTACCGCACGAGTTCGGGAGCGATCGGATGTTTTCGGAAGTTTTACTCTCTCTCCCTCTCTCTCCCTCCCCCTCTCCCCCTCTCTTTCTCCCTCCCTCCCTTCCCCTCCCTCTCCCTCTCCCTCCCTCTCTCTCTCCCTCCCTCTCTCTCTCTCTCTGAAAAAATCTACGGGTTTTGTGCAAGTATCAGGAGTAAGTTTTCTTCACTACTGCTTTAACTTGATGGTAAAGGTACGGTTCTCTGTTTTTTAGTAACTATAATATCACTACCACTACTAGGGTCACTAACATTTCAATTTCATCTTGTCAAAATTTCTTGGGCGTTTGATTTTTCTTTATTTCGAAATATACACAGAAAAGTGGTCTAAACATATACATCAACAAATGGAAAATAAATAAATGTCACGCCATCTTTTATTTTTACGTAACGAAGGTTCGAGAAAGCAATTTAGGAATATTAAAAATGAGCTTAGGGGACGACAGACCGGCCAACCTGCTGTAATGATTAAATAAACCGAACTGATCAGCTACTCACCCCTGGGCACGCTGGAATGTCTTCGATTCGCCGCGGCCATCATGAAACCGCCGCAGAACGAGGCCTGCCTCGACTCGTTGGTGAGTTTCGGGCTGCGCCGCGGCCTGCAGAACAGGGGCGGCAACTCGGTCAGGTCCACTTCCCTCTTTTGGATCGCCTCGTCGGTGACGCCGATCAGCCAGTACGTTTGCACGTCCCCCTTGCCCTTCATGCTGACGAACCCACGTTCCTGGATGACGTAGCCGCCCAATTTCTCGAGGGCGTCCTTGCACTGCATACTTATGTGTATTTTGAGGGGTTCGCCGTTGCTTTCCATGCGGGAGGCGGTGTTTACGGTGTCGCCGAACAGACAGTACCTGGGCATCGTCAGGCCCACCACTCCCGCAACCACCGGCCCTGTAAAAAACGGGAAGGTTAGTTTTGCGGGGTCGGACGTCTCGCCCCCTACCCCCCCCCCCCTTTACCGGTGTGGATTCCGATCCGTAGTTGAAGCCTCTCTTTGGGCCTGTGCGGTATCGTGTGGTTTTTGACGGCCGCGAGCAGTTCCATCGCCATCGACGCGATTTCTCCCGCGTGCCGATCGCCGTTGCGAATCGGCAGACCCGACACCTGATGTTAAAAACGGAAAATACACAGAAAAATATCAAACAAACAAAATAAGGAGGAAGTTTTTAAAAACGCAAAAGACAGAGCAAATTATTAAAAAGCCGAAGGACAGAGGAAATTATTAAAAACTCAAGGACAGAGGAAGTTATTAAAAACTCAAAAGACAAAAGAAATTATGAAAAACGCAAAATAAGGAGCAAATTATAAAAAACGCAAAAGACAGAGGAAATTATTTAAAACGCAAAATAAAAAGAAAATTATTAAAAACGCAAAAGACAGAGGAAATTATTAAAAACGCAAAATAAAGAGAAAATTAATAAAAACTCAAAACAAAGAGCAAATTATTAAGAACGCAAAAGACAGAGGAAATTATAAAAAACACAAAAGGCAGAGGAAATTATTAAAAACGCAAAAGACAGAGGAAATTATTAAAAACGCAAAATAAAGAGGAAAATATTAAAAACGCAAGATAAAGCGGAAATTATTAAAAACGCAAACGAGCATTATTATTAAAAACCAAAGATATAAGAAAAAATGACCGACTCAAGGGGCAAACGAAATAATTAAAAACGCAAAATATAGAAGGAATGGTTTTTTTTTTCAAACAAACTGCCACAGGCAACTGTAATACATTTTACGAAACTTCTGGATTCCTCCCGCGTCGGTTTTTGCTGAGTAGAAATTGCTGACGTTTCGCCAATCATCTTGTTGGCTTCATTTCAGTTTCGATTCAGCAAAAATCGATGCAGGAGGAATCCAGAAGTTTAAAAACAAAAAAAAAGATTGAAAAAAGCACTCACCACCATGTAAGCGTCCCCTATCGTTTCCACCTTGTAGACATCGTAACCCTTGATGATCCGATCGAAAACGGTATAAAGGTCGTTCAAAAAGTTGACCACCTGCAGCGGCGTGCTCTCCGCCGACATGGCAGTAAAGCCGACGATGTCGCTGAAATAGATCGTCACCAGGTCGAAGGACTCCGGCTCGATGCCGTAGCCCTTGGTCAGTCTCTCCGCCACTGGCCTGAAACACGCCACCTAGTTTACGCCATCCGACCAAAGCGGCTACGTCACGCACTTGGGCAACATCCGATGGAGAAGGTCCTCCGTTTTGTTCTTCTCTTCGTACAACAGTCTCGTCCTCTCGTTGACCAAGTCCTCCAAGTTATTCGCGTACGTCACCATCATGTCCATCATCTGATCCATGATGTTCTTGCTTTTGCCGCCCTTCATCCGTTTGAGCTTTGCCCGGATCGCGACGAAATCGGGCCTCTGATCCGGACACTCGGACCAGCACTCTTTCATCACTTGGACGATGTACTCGTCGTACGCGATTTCCGCGTCCAGGAATATATCCACGTCGGGTCTGAAGGGTTCCTCGCCCTGCGACGGTACCCTTTTAACTAGCTCGATGATTTCTGCAAGCGGAAACCGCGCGGGTAGTTCGAAAGTACCATTTTTTTCGTACCGAACCAACTAAAGTGCCTGTTTAATAGTTGATTTGAAAGTAGTTCACTATAAAAACCCGCAAGCGGAACTCGAGAAGTATTTCGAACGTACTTAACCTAAACAAGGGAATTCTGTTCTTTGATCGCGCTATTTAAAACTAGGACATCGTTTCCACGAATTTAAAAAAAAAACGCAATCTTAACCGCACCTGGAGAAAGTCATGGTAGTTCAAACGTACTTAATCTCAAATAAACATAAAGAACTTTTCTAAACATCCAAATCGCCTTTTTTCACGAATTAAAAAAAGAAGAAAAACGCAATCTTAAAGCCGCACCCTAAGTCGAGAAGGCGACAGTAGTTCAAACGTAACCTAAGATAAATCTTTCGAATTAAAATAAAGTAGCGTTCGTTTAGTATTCGATTTAAAAGTAGGTCAATAAGACGATGTTTCCAAACAAACTGGACAAGGCGTGAATAGTTCAAACGTACAGAATTCCAAATAAACATATAGAACCATTTTTTAAAAACCCGACGAATGTACACTGCGTTCGCTTAAAACTTGATTCAAAAGTAGTTCGGATGAACTCCATTTCCATTATAGAGCGGGCCACGAAATAGAAAAAAAAAAAGAAAACAAGACATTAAGACCGCAATGCAAGTGGAGCGTAAGGCGGGAGTAGTTCAAACGTACTAAACCTAAGAAAAAGAAAACGGTCGCGTATGAAGTTTCTCGCGATTGCCGCGCCAATTCGACCCCCCAGGGCACGTGCCTACCTATAGGTTCGTACCCGGTGATGCCAAACGGCCCTTTCCTGCCCAGCAGCTCGAAGAGGATGATGGCGAACGCGTACACATCCCCCTTCTGGGTGCCCTTGACGTAGAGACTGGGATTCCGGAGTATTTCCGGGGCTTTCCAGAACAAACCTGCGACAGAAGTTTGCTGATTCGCGACGCGGACGGGGGGCGGGGTCCGAAACCAATCGTACTTACTGCGATAGTACTGGTGTTCGCCGATACTGTCGTTCTCCGCGCAGTGTCGCATCTCGGCGAGACCGAAATCTGCAACCTGGAGCACCCACCGACTGGTCACGACGCAGTTCGACGACTTCAGGTTGCCGTGACACCCGAGCAGAGAATTGTGCAGATACAACATACCCTGAGGACGACGGATTAAAATAAATTAATGGTACCTGACATCTTTGCGACGGGTTAAATGTGTAAATATTTGCAAGTGATCAACGGCCTTTAATTTTGATTTTGAATTTCTAGATCATAACCAACGCTTCTTTGGCCATCCCAATCCTTCTCTTGATATCTGCCTCGGAGCCTTCCCTGTTGGTTGGACAAAACAAGTATCCAATGAAAAATTAAGGTTTATTGACAAGACTTTTTGTCGAGGTTTGTCGTGTTCTCACCAAGTAACCTCTATACTTTGTCACAGGCTGGAGAGTCAAGTGATCAAACCTCCTAGTTTTGTCGCATGGTACGCGCCACCTAGAGGCCGGTCGCTCAAACATTCGGACCTCATACCGATGAAGCGAGTGATGGTGACGTCATATCCATCAGTTTACGTTGGGATTGTTAAATCGACGTTTTTCATTTTTCTCGAGTACGACAAGCAGAGACTGATTTTCGTAGTTCTGCGGATTTTGACATCGACTTCTTTTCAAGTTCAAAACGTTGGCACTCACAAAGGCACAAGGCAAGGCACTCGCTTAGAGTACAATTTGTAAATCGGTGATAACTGTTCTAAATTAAATAAATGTTTTAAATACGTGGTCAAATCATTAAAGAATTAAAAATTTTAAGTTTTTGTAAGATCTTTCAGGAAAAATGGAATAAATATATTATTAAATATAAATAAATATTTCAACTTACTTTAATGAGATCGTGTACCAGAGACGCTATAAACATCTTGTCCAGCTTAATGTCCTCGTTCTCTATGATATCCTGCAAAGCGAGGGGTTAGGTCGTCCTGCGATATCCGCGCCCTCACTTACGTATAAACTCCCTTTGGCGCAGTAATCTGTGACCAGGAGCAGTGAGGTGGGCAACACGCAAGCGCCTACAAACGAGTTGACGTTGTCATGACGTAGTTCGCGCAGCAGCCGCATCTCTTTCATCACTTCCCGAGAGATGTCCTTCTTCCGGGAGAACCTGAGCTCGCGGATGCGCACCAGGAGACCGCGGTACTGCGCAGTAGTCGCGAACACCTGCTGCCCGCCCCTCGACTCGTACGAGTTGACGCTGGCGCTCGCCAGGCTCAGCTGCAACGTTACCGAACGCTCATATCAAATAGTAGTTCAAACGCATCGCGCGTCTGTTCTCTGTTCCCTCGACTCTGTTCTCCGTAACGGACTCTCGCGCGAAGTTATGAAACAAAGTTTCGAGCTATCGAGGTAATATTCGACAGCGACATACGGTTCTATCCCCAGACGGGATCTGTTGAAAAATTTTTTCCCGGAGGGAAAACAATGATTTTCTCGAAACCTGAACGCGCGAGATTCGGGGAAATGACAATAATATAATATACAGGTTGTCCCAGTTATGAGAAAAAACCCACTTTTTTGAGTAAATCGTTTAAGTTCCTTAAAAATATATATTTCATTTTTTATCTGTTCTCTGTTCTACGAAACGGACGTTATTGAAGCCGGATAAAGTTGGAACGGGTTGAACTACGGGTCTTCAAATTTTTCTCCTAACACATCGACAACACAGCGGTTTAGAGTTCCATCCCCGCATGGAACCTATCGATACAGGAAAAATTTAAAAAAAAAATGAAAATTTCGAGATGATTTGGGTAATACAGAACAAAATTTTAACAACTTTTATGCAAACAGCATTCTTGACATTGCTGAAAGTATTCCAAATAGACAATAAATAAATAAATAAAACTTTTTGAAAAATATTTCTTCTGACTTAAGTCAGGAAAAATTCCCGAAGAGATCAAGGCAAGCGTTACTTTACCTATACCCAAAGTACCAGTTCCGAGTAAACCTGGAAATACCGACCAATTAATTTATTATCGGTTATAGGCAATGTTTTAGGAAGAATTGTGTTTAAGCAGCCGCATAACTGAATTGTCTTTACAATTGGAGGTGAGCCTTTGGGACCATCGATAGAGGACGTCTGGTGGATAAACTGCATATGGAATCAGACGCAGAAGTGGTAGACAATGTGAACTTGGAATTAATGTTACTTAGTGACTGATTGTACGTAAATAAGCTCAAGTTAAATTTAAATACAACATATATGGTATTTTATTAATAGGAAATGTTTCACAAATGAAGTGTCTGGGAGTTGTTCTAGATTCTCAATTAAATATCTCCCAACATGTAGATTATATTTATAAAAAAATTAGAAAAAAGATAGGTTTCTTGGGTAGACTTTCGCCTGAGCTTAGCCACTGGAGCAGGCGTCTTGTTATTTTCGAAAAATCGATGAAACTTATATCTCGGCAACGGTAGGTCCTACCGGACCGCCATTGAATAGAAATGATCAGTGTCGAAAAAAAATTTTTTTTGTCTGTCCGTTCTCCGTTCTCAGTTCTCTGTTCGTGGGTTTTTCGACATTAACTTCCGAACGGTTTGAGCTACACGTTTCAAATTTTGCTCCTTTTGAACCGTCTACGGGGTGCATAAGATATATAAAAATGACTGCGTTAAAGTTTCGGCATCCATATTTTTTTTTTCGATTTTCGACTGTTTTTTGGACGGAAATTTGAAGCTATCGACTTCAAGTTTGGCAGGTAAATAGCGTAAATAGGTAAATAGATTCGGCTGCATAAACTGTTGTTCTTGACGATTTTTTAAAAATTTACAGGGCATGTCCATTATGGCAAAAATTGGCCACTTTTAAATTAACACCAGAGAAAAATAAAAATGCATCTTTAGTTTCCTCAATATCCTGGACAGTCTGTATACCGAGTGCGCAAACACTGTATCAAAGTAATACATCTCGTTTATCAACTAAAAGGAACAACGTAAACTTATTCGATTCATAAACATGTGGGAAATCAAACGTTTTCGATGAAACACCCTGTATAATATGACATTAATAGATACTCTCCTTTATACCCGACCACTGTCTCGTATATCTATACGAAATGTTCTCAGATTTATGGCCACGGCACCGACCGGTAGTTCATTCGCGCGCTCCGGGTTAGTTCAAACGTACCGTCGTCCCCGCGACTCACCCGACTCGGGCTGGCGATCAGGTTGTCCTTCTCGAAGTAGCTGTGGATGTCGTCGCGATCGATCTTCCACAGCAGACCCTCGATCTCCTGTTCGATCTTCCACTTGCGGTATATGCTCATCGTGATGACGCTTGCGCAGAATAGCACGACAGCGAGGACGCCCGCTACGACGATGCTGTCGCGGTGCGTGTCCGATTTGGGGCACAATTTGTTGTCGAAACCGCAACTGGGCTCGTCGTTAGGCCTGTCTCGTCCCACCCACATGATCGGCTTGTTCAGGTTTACCTTATATTGCTGGAACAAACGACGGGTAAAGAGGGGGGGGGGGCGTGGCCTCGTGTGACCGCCCTTGCCTTGTGACGTCGGCGCTCGTATGAAAGACGATATTTTGGCTTTTTCTAAACATGAAACATCTTTAAAGCTTTAGGCGGTGTGAAACTTTTATATTGTTATAAAAACAACTCCCGGCAATCGTCTGTCACTCTTCATGACTCTAAAGTTCCTCGTATCTATGAACTCCCTAAGATTCATAAACCAGGATTACCCCTGAGAACAAAATATATAGTTTCTGTATTACTGGAAAAACTGATTGGACAATTGAAAACCATTACATTAGATCCATTAGATTAGTTTCGACGTAGAATCCTTCATTATATAATCGCTCATTCTTAGATATTCTTATGAATAGAAAATCTGACCTAACAGTGAGTCATTCTGTTTACAGAAAACCTACTCGCGCAGACACTTTGAGTCAGGTAAAGTGGGCGTGGCCTCGTGTGAGCACGAGCCCTAACAACTGTCTTGTGACGTCGGTGCTCGTATGAACGGCGATATTTTGTCTTTTTCGAAACATGGAAACATCTCTGCCGCGTTCACCGTGTCAGACAACTAACCAAGAGCATAGAACAAGTGCGTCGACATGGAACTTTCAAAAGAAAGATTGAAAACACGCGTCAGGTGGTGTGAAACTTTTAGATTGTTATAAAAACAACTTCTGGCAACCTTAGACCTATCTTAGACTCCCTGAGACTCACAAGTCAGGATTACCCCTTCTGAGCAACATATCGAGTTTCCGTATTACTGGAATTACATTAGATTCTGTTTACAGAAAAGGAATTCCACACTTGCCACCGTTGTTCTTCCATACATTTAAAATATCACTGACCACGTATCAAGACCTCTTAAGAAATATAACACTTCTCCGAAAATGTTCAAAATTCCGTTTGAGGTAAAGTCTGTTCATAGATATAGGAAAGTGACTAACTGATACGAATCAAGGAAAGACCCGGGCAAGCTGTAAGAATCAAATATGGCCGAACAGGTCCGTACTTTGCTTAGAATTTAATTATTTGGGGTTTTGTTAGGAATGATACTAAACAATATTTATTTATTTATGTATGTATTTATGTTTAAATCTAAAAGAAAATTACAAATTATCTTTATTACCTACTTAAATTACTTAAAATTATTCGCATAATATATCAGTATCGCTATCGCCGCCTGTTCTAATTATTATTTGTTCTATATTATTTGCAATATGCATATACGATTGTTCTGCTTTTTCTATATGTTTAACAGAATTTGCCCAACTTTGTGGATGGAATATTAAACACAGGTAGGTATAAAATTATTTTCTATTACGGACCACAATTTTACCTGAATTTAAATTCCGAAACTTTACGTAATAATGTTGTTGCATTGCCTCTTAATGACTACCCTTGCATAATCCCATTCAAAAGCAATTGGTCACTTTCTTATATCTATGAACAGACCATACCTCTTTTTGCCAAAGGTTTTCGTCTTACCTAGATCTAAAAGCGCGCCCGGAAACTCTTGATTGGGCTCTGAAACTGCATCAAAAAATGGTCGTTAATCGTTAATAAGACGCCGACCTAAAAGACACTAGATACAAACAAAGCCTGACGTTTATTGCTATTTTTCATTTAGTTTACGATTTTTTCTTTCGTTTAGATTCTAGGTGAAACGAATACCTTTCTCGTCGAAATGACGTAGCCTCTCGGAGGGGTGGGGCGCGCCCCCTCTACGCCTACTACGCGCATACGTCGAACGATGCCGTGGTTGGGGGGGGGGGGGGGCGGGGGCCGGTAGGAAGGGGGTTTGTTTGTATCCAGAATCTTGTGTCCTCTACGCGCATGCTCCGTATCCCACACCTTAGTTAGTAAACGACGGCTACGAAACAATTCTACACTACGCTTACTTTCTAACCTTCCCCCGTATACACGCGTATATGTCACAGTAAAGTTCATTGTCTCATCGGTTTTGAAAGTTATGATAACTTAGTAAATAAAAAGTTAGCATGCACAATTTAATGTTATTTTAAAGCGGCTTGCCAAAAAATTACGGTTTTGTTATTTTTTATTAAATATAAAACTTTTATTTAGTATGTCGGAAGTCTATCTTTAATAACTTGCGAGTTATCATAAACTTTTCCAAAACCAGGATGTTCCATGTCAAAAAAATATATGTATGTTTTATTAGTCGCGCTTTTTTTCGGCCACCCTGTAAAAATAATTTTAAATAGCGCATACTAACAATGTTTAACACTTTTCAATTAAGTGAGAATGAACTTTACTCTACTGAGTGACCAACTACCTCATCCCGATATCAAAGTCACTTGAGATAATTTGGACTTTTCATTTATTACATCTTCATCTATACGGGGCGACTCGTTTCGCCGGGGCCACCACCAATTTTTTTCATTTCAATCAGAACACCCTACGTATCGCCGAATTGACGCTTAATTGCTTGACTTTAAATTGGGTTATAAAACACTACCGACCCCCGAGGCGCACCAAACACACGAAAAAATTCTTAAAAAAAAAAAAAAAAAACACTCACCGGATAGGGGGACTCGTCCGATTGAAAAAACTGGCCCACCGGCCCCAGGCGAAAGTCGCAGCTAAAATTGTTGCCCCCCAGATAAATCTCCTGGCTGACGGGCCGGAAAGCCAATACCGAAAAGTTCCCTTCCGAGTCGCCATTTTTGTCCAGCTTCATGACGGCCCCGGTGATACCTAAAACCGGCCCCGCCCCTTAATACTCAATAATTAATTGTCAATTAATAAAATAATTAATAATCCTAGAGAACGCTACAGACTCAAAGTGTCGGTTACGCAATAACTACTATGAAACAGTGAATCATAATCATAAGAAGTTGATGGGGGACCACCACCAACCATTTAACAAGTTCTATATTCAGTTAAGCTGCTAGAGAAATTTTTTATGTATCATGGGGCAGATGGCCCTCGCGAACAAAGGGTGAAAATACAAGCCAAAGTACGAGATGTGTATTGGCATACTAAAAAAATTCAAAAGAAAATGAAAGATTATTTGAAACATTATATGCAGTTCTGAAACATTTATATAAAATGTTCCTAAGGAGATGTTAAAACATGTATAAAAAATAATTAAATATTACAGAACATATACGCGTATTGTCAAAAAAAAGCAGTCCCTTCAATTTCGTTATATAGAGTTTTTTTTTTTAATGGAATGTGAATCCCACTTCAACACCAGAGGATATAGAAATTATAATCGTTTATTTTGAACAACATGTAGCCTCTAGTTCAAATTTCAATTTCAAAAAGAGTGAGATAAAACATTTAACTCACTCTTATACGTCTGGTTGATTTCGATGATCGTCTCGATGATCTTCGTACCGTTGCCGGACACCTCCCTGATCACCTTGTCGTCGACGGTACCCTCTTTGGCCAGCAGATGGTGCAACGCGGACGCGTACAGCTTGACCGAGTCGTAGAGGTACGCGGCGTAGATCGAGACGAATTTTTCGAAGTACCTGCTCAGGAAATGGGTCTCGAAATCGAACGGGGGCCGCTCGTTGTACTGCCGCACCATTTCCGAAAAATTCTTGTAGTTCTCCGTCGGCGCGGTCAAAACCACCACGAACAACGACTTGACGCGTTTGACGAAATTGTCGTAGTCTGAGAGGTTCTTGCAGCCCCAATGCTTCTCGAGATCGTCGAAACCTGCATCGTTCTAGGTTACGTCTGATTTTGTGCTCGTCAACCGGCCTTACATATCTACTTTTTGAAATATTTGACCTTGGGAAAAAATTTGTGCCTCCAGCTTAACCAACTTTAAAAATTCGACCCTTATAATTAGCCGAATGCTAAAAAAAGTATCGAACCAAAATTATACTTACAAAATTTTACTATATAAAGTATACTTCGCGCCTACCTTAACCTCAAAAATTGAAACAAGTCGCCGAAGGCAGGAGTTGAAACACAAATATTGTATCACACAATCGTAATTTAATATTAATGTTCAAAAAAAATGTCACCAAACACTAATTCCGGACTGATTAAAGTTGTTAATAAAGATTTCCACGAAAGCGCCCAGATAAAAAAAAATATGATTCCATTTACCCAAATAATATGATGAAGTTTCCAATTCGTAATTCTAGAATCAAATAAATCAAAAAATTGAAAATAAAATTAAAATATTAAAAAATCCACAAAGCTTTTAATGTCCTATTTTTTTTTTTAATTAAAGTCGGAAATTCTGAAAAACAAACAAGTCTCACATTCGTAATTGTCATATCAAAAAATTTAAAACTGCTAATTTTTATTATTATGTGCACTATAAAATGTTTATCAATATTTTGGAGTCCTCCAGTTTAGAGATTATCCATTCAGTCCTTATCATTTCCCTGTATATCCGATGTTTCGTTTCCCAATCCCCCTTACGAGAGGCTCGTGTCACGAATTCCGAGTTATTTTCACAAATTCTGATGTTTCTCGGAAATTGCGACTTGTTTACTAGGAATTCTGGCATGTCTCAGAAATTATGATTTATAGTCAGAAATCCTGACTGGTTTTTCAGATATTTTAATGTTTCTCAGAAATTCTCCCTTGTTCCTTTGAAATTCTGACTCGTTTCTCAGAAACTGTTACTTGTTTCTTAAAAATTATGACATGTTTCCCATAAATTTCGACATATTTCTTAGAAATTCTACATTTCTTCCAGAAATTCTTATCTATTTTTCAAAAATTCTAACCTATTTTTCAAAAATTCTGATGTTTCTCAGAAATTCTGACATTTTTCTCAGGAATTCTGACATGTGGCTCAGGAATTCTGATTTGTTTTTTAGATATTATAACTTGTTTATTAGAAATTCTGACTTATTCTGAAAAAAACCGCCTTTTAAACAACTTGTTATGTAAACTACTATTTGCAGCTCCAAAGTGCCTGTAAAAACACCTACGGAATATGTACTTGTGGACCTCCTTCTCGAGATACGTGTTCATGTCGACGTAGATGACGATGTAGTCGCCGTTGGCGAACAGCTGCGCCCTCTGCATCGTGTCCATGAAGTCGACCAGCGAGATAGCGGTGCCGAGGAACACGTAAACTGAAAATTTCGGTGAAAACTTGCAGGGGCTTCCAATTATTTACCCGAACGAACGAATTTATTCACGTAGTTTCTAACATCTATAGCTTTACTTTTTTTACTTAATGAAATAACATCCTTCGATAATCAAAAAAAAAGTAATAAAAAAAAATAATAGTGTAAATATTGGACGAATATTTAAGACTGCAAACTTCGGCTATTAAACAATTGACGCTGTTACAAAGTTCGTTGCAGATATTTTAAGGGTGTTTTCCAGAGCCAATTTAATTTGGAAAATGCGCATCGTACTGAAAACGAGGACCAATAATTCAGAAACGGTGATTAATAGGCTCCTCATATTAGAGATTGTTGATTTCAGTGGTCGAACTACATATAGCTATTACATTTTATTCAGCAATCTTTTGTTGCAATAAAATTGTTTGCTAGAAATTCTGGCATGTTTCTCAAAAATTCTGAGTTTTTTTTAAATAAATTTTAATCAATCTTTCAGAAATTCTGATATGTTTCTCAGGAATTCTGACTTGTTTCTCAGAAATGCTGTCTTTTTCCGCAAATTCTGACCTATTTTTCAGGAATTCTGATGTTTCTGAGAAATTCTGACTTATTAGAAAGTCTGATATGTTGCTCCAGAATTCTGAGTTTTTTTTTTTCAATAAATTCTGATCTATTTTTCAGAAATTCTGATATGTTTCTTCAAAAATTCTGATATGTTTCTCAGGAAGTCTGAGTTGTAGTCAGACATTCTGACTTGTTTCTCGGAAATGCTGTCTTTTTCCGGAAGTTATAATCAATTTTTCAGGAATTCTGATGTTTGAGAGAAATTCTGACTTGTTAGAAAGTCTGACATTTTTTTCAATAAATTTTGACCAATTTTTCAGAAATTCTGATATGTTTCTTCAAAAATTCTGACATGTTTCTCAGGAAGTCTGACTTGTAGTCAGACATTCTGACTTGTTTCTCAGGAATTCTGAATAATAGTCAGAAATTCTGACTCCTGACTAATTTTATTTAATTTTGAGAATGGTATCTATCTATAACATAGAAACGTTTTTTTTTATTCATTTTTTTAGGCACCGAAATTACATCAGAAATGTACGAAATCTGACAGGTGAACGACAACATTAGTTTAAAAAAACTGTTCCAAAGTAGGAAGTACTTACGTTTTGTTATATGTTTTTCTATAGGGTGGTTCAAGAGCTTTCTGCCATTTTTATCAAACAAACTAGTACTCAACACAGACTGTTTTATATATTTTTTACGGCGACACCAATTGGCTATTGGACAAAGAAACTACGTCCATTATGCAGTAAAATATTTTAATTAATTACCTAATGAACAGAAAATGCTCGATGTTGGCAAAAAGGTGCTTTAAAATTTTTTTAAAGGAAACGTTTTCAATTTTGTAAAATGATAAAAAAAAATTAACATATTGTGCAGCGACACTTGCCGTACCGTTTTTTTTTTTCATGTAAAAAGAACGAATAAAATTAAACTGTTTAACATTTTGCCGGACAAGAAGTACAAATTTAATTTGACTCACTCCTGGTCTTATTCTTGGTGCTCTGAATGAACTCGTACCAGAACCCGGTCCAACAGCACTGGAACCCTTGCTCGCAGCATTTGTGCTTGTCCATCGCGAAGTTTTTGTGCTGCACCGACATGTTCCTGTCAGCGGCCTGTTTCTCCAGCGAATGGGCGACCGTCTCCCATCCCTCCTCGTAAATAATCGAGAACTTGTGCCAATTGTAGTAGTCCAACAGAGACACTATCGACTTGGTCACCTGAGTGTCCGGAGGTTCGGTCCGTGCAAACGTCGGCACCTTCGACGCCTTGTAATCGGAGCATTTCTGCAATGTACAGGGTGTTTTTTTTTTTGGAAAAAAAAAACTTCCGCAGGCGCCATTTACAAAGAAAGCAACAGGGTGATAGTCTAAGAGCCAGTAGGCGGCTAACTGCATGTATTTGACCAGACCTGGGCTTTTGTACATTGAGGCCCCTATACCTACTATACATGAGGTGGCGACCCACTAAGCCCAGGTGGACCCAGGTACTGCGCAGGTGAGACAGGTATCGATTTTTGTATGTAAGTGTATTAGTAGTAAAAATTTTATTATCCACTGAGGAGTGTACTGAATAAAAAAGATGGATTTTCATCAAGTAAAAGCCACCTCAGTTCGATATTATAACAGCATAAAAATAGATTTTTTTTTAAATAATAACGTCTTATTATTGTGATAAAAATTATGTTATTATAATGTTAAGTAGATACCTAGATCTACTTGACGAAGTAATTCCAGAACTACTCGAAGATATTCCCTTAGTATATTATAACGATATACACCTTGAGCAAGATGGTGCCCAAGTCATAACTCCGGACTTTTAAGACCAATTCTTTCATCTTTCAGTTTTTTTCGGGGTACATGCAAAACAAAATATATAAAACACGATACGAGTCTGTAGCGGAACTTCGACGGGCAACTAATTTATCCCGAAAATTTTAACCACCACGAACAGCATTGCATACCGGATCTATGATGCTATTTTTCCGGTCACAACAGTTGTGACGGGTATATTTGAAGACAATATGCCTGAACTACCGCAATTTTTTGTTAAGAGGCTTCAAAACATAAAACAGGATCGACTGTTCACAGAAACGGAAAAAAGGATTTTTATAGAAAAAAGAAAACGTTTAAAAACACATTCTATAACATTTCATGTTGCAACAGAAATTAAAAATGGTCCCAACGATTGGTGGAATGAAGACGTAAATATTTGGGGCAAAAACATTAGAAATTTTTTGAAAATTAAGCTTAGTCAACATAACCTTTCTTTTGTCGATACTTATACAAAAAAGAACTAGTCAAGTTTTTAAATTAACCAAATCGTACCATTTTAATTTCGTGATGATTAATATTTATTTCATTTAACAGGGAGTTCTTTTTTCCCGACGGACACTCACGTGCTCGTCAACCGGCCTTTCATATCTACTTTTTGAAATATTTTACCTTGGGGAAAAATTTGTGCCTCCAGCTTAACCAACTATAAAAATTCGACCCTTATAATTAGCCGAATGCTAAAAAAAGTATCGAACCAAAATTATACTTACAAAATTTTACTATATAAAGTATACTTCGCGCCTACCTTAACCTCAAAAATTGAAACAAGTTGCCGAAGGCAGGAGTTCAAACACAAATATTGTATCACACAATCGTAATTTAATATTATATATAATTTAAAAAATGTCACCAAACACTAATTCCGGACTGATTAAAGTTGTTAATAAAGATTTCCACGAAAGCGCCCAGATAAAAAAAAAAAATGATTCCATTTACCCAAATAATATGATGAAGTTTCCATTTCGTAATTGTAGAATCAAATAAATCAAAAAATTGAAAATAAAATTAAAATATAAAAAAATCCACAAAGCTTTTAATGTCCTATTTTTTTTTAAATTAAAGTCGGAAATTCTGAAAAACAAACAAGTCTCACATTCGTATTTGTCATATCAAAAAATTTAAAACTGCTAATTTTTATTATTATGTGCACTATAAAATGTTTATCAATATTTTGGAGTCCTCCAGTTTAGAGATTATCCATCCAGTCCTTATCATTTCCCTGTATATCCGATGTTTCGTTTCCCAATCCCCCTTACGAGAGGCTCGTGTCACGAATTCCGAGTTATTTTCACAAATTCTTATGTTTCTCGGAAAGTGCGACTTGTTTACTAGGAATTCTGGCATATCTCAGAAATTATGATTTATAGTCAGAAATCCTCTCTGGTTTTTCAGATATTTTAATGTTTCTCAGAAATTCTCCCTTGTTCCTTCGAAATTCTGACTCGTTTCTCAGAAACTGTTATTTGTTTCTTAAAAATTATGACATGTTTCCCATAAATTCCGACATATTTCTTAGAAATTCTACATTTCTTCCAGAAATTCTTATCTATTTTTCAAAAATTCTAACCTATTTTTCAAAAATTCTGATGTTTCTCAGAAATTCTGACATTTTTCTCAGGAATTCTGACATGTGGCTCAGGAATTCTGATTTGTTTTTTAGATATTATAACTTGTTTATTAGAAATTCTGACTTATTATTTTATAGAAAAAAGAAAACGTTTAAAAACACATTCTATAACATTTCATGTTGCAACAGAAATTAAAAATGGTCCCAACGATTGGTGGAATGAAGACGTAAATATTTGGGGCAAAAACATTAGAAATTTTTTGAAAATTAAGCTTAGTCAACATAACCTTTGTTTTGTCGATACTTATACAAAAAAAAACTAGTCAAGTTTTCAAATTAACCAAATCGTACGATTTGATTTCGTGATGATTAATATTTATTTCATTTAACAGGGCGTTCTTTTTTCCCGACGGACACTCACGTAACTGATCATCGGAATGTTCCTGGCCTGTGACACTATGGCCTCGACGTGGCACGAACCTTCCGGTCCGAAGAACGCGGCCACGCCCTCGCACATCATGTCCGTCATTATTTTCGTGGCGACGACGGTGTCGCCCCTGGTGTCGTTCCATTTCAGCTCCAACGTCACGTCGGGCAGTATAGACGTGTCGTTATTTATCTAGAAAAAAGACACCTACAAATATTGATATACGAGGGCAGCGCCAAAACTTGCGGGCCTGAATACGAAAGAAACAAAGTAGAGTAACATTTTTTTATTATTTTTCAATATGATCCCCTTAACTTAACTAAATGCCTTTAAAAATATATTCTTTTCGTCTGTCTGCAAAATGAACTAAAACAGCCTCTTTTAACTCAACATCGTCGTTAAACCGCCGTCCACTAAACAAATAATAGTCGCTGGGGGCCATATCTGGAGTACAGGGAGGACGATCTATCTGTTGGAACCCGTACCCTAAAATGGCAGCTTGTGCAACACCAGCAGTATGGACAGGTGCATTATCGTGCAAAAGACGCACGCCTCTGGTCAGTTTTCCTCGACGATTCACACGTATTCAGTCTCGCAATTTATGTGATAATGTTGCGTGATATTCAACATTGACAGTGGTATTAGTTACTTTAAAATCTATAAAAAGAATTCCTTCACAATCTCAAAAGATGGTGACCATCACCTTCTTTGTCGACTGGCAGACTCTGAATTTTCTAAATAATTAAAGAAGATACTTCTAGGGCGGAATAAAAGTTTGACTACATTAATATTTAAAAAAGGAGACAAGAATAAGCCATCAAACTATAGGTGAATGTCGTTGCTAAATACAATCTCGAAAATTGTCACCAAAATCATAGCAGAAGAACTAAGAGCAACAATTCCGACATGCGAAGAACAGCAAGGTTTTCGAAATAACAACAACAACAGATGCCATCTTTATAATTCGCCAGTCAGTGGAAAAGTTAATAGAATACAACAACCCTATCTTCGTGTATTTCGTGGACGTAATGACACAGTATACACGAATCTATGTTACGCGGACGATGCGGTACTGATATCTAATAGCGAAGACAGCCTACAAAAAATGTTACACACATTTAATAAAACCGAAAAACAATACAATATGGCAATATTAACCCGGAAAACTGAATGTCTAACAGTATCTTAGATGTAAGCTGAAGATACTCAGGAGTATATGTGACAAGCCACTGTGATATTTACCAAGAGAAGATATACCCAAGTAAGGAAAACAGCAGCCGCAACAGGAACAGCACAGATTAGCAAAGATTACAAGAGATGGAAAACCTGAGGGGAAAAGATCAAAAGGAAGACCACAAAAAAGATAGCTGGTCATTAGACTCACAAATAAAATTAAATATTACCCAGTAAACACAAGCCATTGGACTTAACGTAGGAATGGAGCACACGTAGGATATACGAGGGTAACTTGAAAAGTTTCCGGCCTCGCCTCGTGAGTGTATTCGTGAAAGCGTTATAAAATATTTTTTCTTTATCGTTAAGTAATTTTCGTTGTCATTAGAGTTTAAGAATTATTTAAAATCAATAATTCCTTAATAAAGTTTTTGTTTGTCGATGCTTCAAAAACGAAGTGTGCCGAAAACCCCCGTAAACTAAATTTAATAATTCCGGAAACTCTTGACCGACCCCGTAAATGCAGCGTATTTTTTCCTCTGCACCGAAATAGGAAAAACGTTTATTTTGAAAGGCGCTCGATTGAATTTTTTTTTAGCGGCAACAGTGCGGTACGTTCGGCCACGTAAAGTGTATATCAAAGTAGCGAGTGACGTGTGACGGCCGGCCGACTAAAAGAAACGGCGTAAATCGTTCGTAAAAGTCCGGTAAAACGAACGGTTGCTACGGTAACCACGCAAGGTGCGTAATGGGTTATCCGCAATTGACTGGAACTCGTTCGGATCTGATAAAAGGCGTACCGTTCCAAAAATAGTCCGTCTATTAATAGAACGCCGAGTTTTATCGCGGTACCGGGTCGCTATTTTACAGTCGGCTACGAATTTCGTTTGTTTCATTATTAATGACCGCAAACGACGAGGCGATTACATATACACAACATCCTATGAAAAAAAAAACATAATATTTGGCCAATTTCAAATTTTTTTATATATTAATATTGAAGACAAATATCCAATAAATTTGTGTTAGTTTATTATGTGGTGACACCTCACCTCGAGACCTGTTAAATACAGGGTGTCTCAAAATACCCGCGCCAACGCTCGGCAGAAGATTTATTATAAAAGAAAAGAAGTTCGTTTAAAAAAAACGCTTATTCAATATTTTTTGAGAAAAAAAAAACGCCTTTCTGCACTATGTCAAATATTTTTTGCTCGTCTATGCCTGCCTATAACTCTGACACAGTACTAGATCTCCGCTATCTCCCTTAAGAACGATGGTGGCATTTCATAATACTGTATATCTGACGTTTCCCTTCACAATGTCTCTGACTTTTATGTCAAAAATTCTTCCTTATTTTTTGAAAATCGGTAAAAAATGAAAAATTATGAGTTATTTTCCAGAAATTTTGACTCGATTTTCTGAAAACCTGATTGAAGTCGGAAAATATGAGTTAGATTCCTGCATTATGAATTATGTTTCAGAAATTCTTACTTCTTTTAACAAAAATCTAGTTTCAATCAGAAATTATGAGTTATTTTATAGCAATTCTGACTTGTTTTTCAGAAATTCTTACTTAACTTAGTAATCTTGATTTATTTTCCGCACTTGTGACTTGTTTATGTGAAATTCATATTTGATTTTCAGAAAATTTGACTTTACTCACAAATTATACCTTATTCTCCAGTATTTCCGATTTGTTTTTCAAAAATTCAGACTTGTTTCACAGAAATTTTGACTTTTTTTCAGAAATTCTTACTTAAAAAAATTATGATTTATTATCCACAAATTCTGAATTGTTTTCAAACATTCTTAGTTAACATAGAAATTTTCCGGAATTTTTAATTTGTGTCTTAGAAATTCTTACTTGTTTCTCAGAAATTTTGACTTAAGTCAGAAATTTTGTACATGTTTCTCAGAAATTTTAATACTGAGAAATTCGTACTTACTTTCCCGAAAAATCTGACATAAATCAAAAATTCTGATTTATTGTCCTGCTGACTTGCTTTCCAAAAGTTGTGAATTGTTCTTGGAAAATTCAAACGCGCTTTTCAGTACATCTGACTTTACTCAGAAATTTTAACCTATTTTCCAGAATTTCCGATTGGTTCCTCAAAAGTTCCGACTTGTTTCTCAGACATTTTGACTTAAGTCATAAATTTTTACATGTTTCTCATAAATTTTGATACTGAGAAATTCTTACTCATTTTCCCGAAAAATCTTACATAAATCAGAAATTCTGATTTATTTCTCAGAAATTCCGACTTGTTTCTCAGAAATTTTGAATTAAGTCAGAAATGTTTACATGTTTCTCATGAATTTTGATACTGAGAAATTCTTACTTATTTTCCAGAAAAGTCTGACGTAAATCAGAGATTCTGATTTATTTTCCACAAATTCTGACTTGCTTTTCAAAAGTTGTGAATTGTTCTTGGAAAATTCAAACGCGTTTTTCAGTACATTTGACTTTACTCAGAAATTCTAACCTATTTTCCAGAATTTCCGATTGGTTCCTCAAAAATTCCGACTTGTTTCTCAGACATTTTGACTTAAGTCAGAAATTGTTGACATGTTTCTCATAAATTTTGATACTGAGACATTATTACTCATTTTCCCGAAAAATCTTACATAAATTAGAAATTCTGATTTATTTCTCAGAAATTCCGACTGGTTTCTCAGAAATTCTGACCTGGTTCTCCCAAATTCTGAATTATTCAAAAATTTGCCTGCCAAACCTAAAACCCAAATTTTATTTTTGTTGGCCTTTCGATGCTTATTATTATTTTTCAGTTCTTTTGATATTTCTAACAAAAGGAATAGCGGGAGAGTTCCCAAACCAGGCGCATTACCTCGTCTATCGCCATGGAAATCGCCCCAGATATCGACAGGCCCTGCCTCTCTTTCAACTCCCCCTTGACTGCGGTCAAGTAGCCCAACACCAGCTTGGTCTTGCCCCGTGGCCGCTCCTTCTTCAGATCGCCTACCGTCAAATTAGCCCCGAGATCAGCCGAAGACACCGAGGAAGACAACACGAGCCCATCGTCTCTCCCATCACCGATCTCGAGCTGATTGTCGGCCAATGGGGCGAACGTGGCGTCTTCGAAGGGCCCGTAGGTGGTGGACCTGTGGAGGCGGTCGGAAATGAGCTGTGGTCGGGGAGCGTCCGCCCGGAGCGCTTGCGGATTGTACACCGGACTCTGGAGCAGCAACGTAACCAGCAGAGAAGCCAGGCCGATGTTCATGGCCGGGCTCCTCCCTCAACGTATCCGCAAGTCGACCTGAAAAAAGGAAGAATACTTTGAAGAGAGCGCAAATAAACATTTAAGAAAGACAACTGTGGGTCGATTGTTTTGGCATAAAAAATCTTAAGACCAATGAAACTGTGTTTTACGTCTACCATGAAGGATTAGGAAATAAATGAGCAAATCAAGTGTGGTCAATTATCTGGAGAACTTCTTTAATGATGATGTGGACCAACTATACCTTTTCTCAGACAACTGTCCAGGATGGCTTTGACAGACATCAGCAGTGACCAAGATACCTGCCTGATTGGTATTATTCTATGATGAAACATACCTTTCCGCCCTCTTCTTTATGGCATTTCAATATGATCAAAGCAAAAAAGGTGCAGTCACTTCGCAAAATTTCATTGATGGTTTAAGCAAAGACACTTTTCAAATATCCAGGAATAAATCGGCTCCTATTTCTTGGCCAGTTCTACAGGCTTACCCGAAGGGAAATGTTCCCCTAAACCCTAAGAAAATCGAAAATATCAAACGGGTGAAGAGTATATGAGATTTTATGACAAAATTTTTGATTGGCCGACTGGTGAACTGGCCGATGAAGACCCAAATGTTGAGTGCGACCAAGAATTCGATTATGTGCCTTAAAAACTCTGTCATTTTTGTAAATAAAACGTAGTTTTGAGTTTCCGTTTCGTTTTTGTCTTACTTATTATATCGTAAAAAATAATATTTCCAAATACCATTTAGCATTTTTAAATAACAAAAATAAATGTTTAATAAAGAAATTATTATTAGAGTAATATAGTTTTTTTTTTATTCCTGAAAAGAAAAGAAACATGGACAACAAAGGGTGCGCAGCTATGTGAGGAAAAGGGCCGAAGCATCCTTCAAGATTCAACAATTTACCTAGTTTCTATGTCCTACTTTTTTTCAAAAACATTATTGAGTGTTGTTGTTATTATTAACAGGCAATTTTGTTAAAAATTATTAATAAAAGGTTGTGGTATTACAAATATTGCAAAAATATATTTTTGAAAACATACACGTATATGACAACACCATAAACAATATCAAGATGCTGCGCACATTTTACAAATAAAATACCAATAGTACTACAATATGTTCAGTCTCTAAATTTCGGGCACTATTCTCGAGAAAAATATCGATTCCAAAAATTCCTTCTGGTTTTAAATTCAGTTTTGATGAAGAGAATATCGAGGGCTTAGCCGGTGCGCGAAATACGATCACAAATCCCAAACGGTATTGGGCAACACGTGATGTCATCATTGGGGGCCTCTACGGCTTTAAGCATTTGCAGCATAGCTAGAAAGAGAAGAGAGAAGTCGAAAACTGAAAACCGCATAGTGATTTGTCAAAGCGTTTCTGAGTTACAGGGTGATTCTTAAAAATGTACGTTTCTAAAAACCCTCTATGACTTTTTACAAAGATATCTGTAATTTTTAACAATTACCATAGTAGGCTGTATTTAACTCTGACCTACGCAGTTTTACGGTATCGATCTAGATAGCTATGATCAGATAATATAATTTCCATGAGCCCAAGTGTCAAAAGCGGCGGTCTTCGTCAAGTTATAGAAATGTTTGAAAACTTCGAAAAGTACGACATGATAAAATGTTGCATTGAAAGTAAGGAAAACGACAGACGGCGTTAAATCTATATTTCCAGAGATATCCGGAAAGTACGCAACCTAGCTCAAAAATCTACAGTCTTCTACAATAATAAGGATCCTTTACAAAACCGAGGCCTAGAACGTATAGAAGCCTAGCCAGAGATAGAGAGCTGGAAGAACTAACGGTTCTGGGAGAAATAGAAATTAACCCGAGTACTTCCAAAAGAGGTATGGAGGAAAACACTGGAATTCCATTTAGCCATGCCGTGCAGGTCTTTAGGCCAAATTATTGGCCATATATAATTCTAGAAGAGCGGGTAATAGCTATAGCTATACTTTCAACATGACGGTGCACCTCCTCACCTCCTATATATTGGCCACCCAGGTATCCAGACCTGACCCCTTGCGACTTCTTTTTGTGTGGGGAGAATCAAATCAAAACTACTATCAAAATTGTATCAAAATACTTACTGGAAATTGATTTTACTTATTCATTTTACTGACTAAATTTGCGGAAGGGGGATTATCAAGTTAATTTCTTTTACCGCCCCCTTTTTTATACACTCCTAAAACTTAGGAACAACAGTTTCATTATTTTAATAGATTTAGTTATGGTGTGCTATATTGGTCGGTTCTGGTGTTTAAACTTGCATTCCAAACTAGGATTTTTTACCAGGGAGAACAATTAAAACGCAACTTTATAGTAATAATATATTTCAATCAAATTGAGAGAAACAATATAGGTAAAACTTGCGAATGGTTTCTGTTATTATTGGGTTGTCCGGAAAGTCATTTCGTTTTTTTTTGGGGAACATGAAAGACAGTTTTCGTATAATGAATAAATATTTTATTAAATTATATATTGGCCATTCTGGTCCAACACCTTTCGCCATCTTTCTGGCAGTAACATACTTCCCCTCTCATAAAAGTTTTGGTCCTTGCTGGCAAAAAACTGGTTCAGGTGGTTTTTGACATCTTCATTTGAGGTAAAGGTTTTGCCATCCAAAAAATTTTGCAGGGACCGGAACAAATAGTAGTCGGAAGGCGCCAGATCTGGAGAATATGGTGGATGTTGCAGTACGTCCCATTCAAGCTGTAAAAGTTTTTGGCGAGTGACCAAACTTGTGTGAGGTCTCGCATTATCCTGGTGGAACACTACACCCTTCCTGTTGATTAATTCGGGCCTCTTCTCTTTAAGTGAATCATTCAATTTGTCCAGTTGATGACAATAGACTTCTGAATTAATCGTTGTATTGTCCGGCAAAAGCTCAAAAAAAACGATTCCTTTGACATCCCACCAAACGGAGAGCATCACCTTTTTTTGGTGAATGTTGGCTTTTGACACGCTTTGAGCCGGTTCATCTTTTCCGCTCCATGACCTCTTGCGTTTAACATTGCTGTATACAACCCATTTTTCGTCCCCAGTAATAATCCGCTTCAAAAATGGATCATTTTCTTGACGTTTGAGGAGCGAATCACACACGTCAACGCGACGACACAAATTTCGCTCCGTAAGGACATGGGGCACCCACACATCGAGCTTCGAGGTTAAGCCCATGCCTTTCAAATGGCCATAAACAGGCGAATTCGACAAATTTAATCTCTCACCGATCTCTCGTGTGGTTATTCGCCGATTTGCATCAACTAATGCCTTTATCGCATCTTTGTCAGCTTCGACCGGCCTTCCAGACCGTGGTGCATCTTCGACATCAAAATTGCCGGATCGAAATTTTGCAAACCAGTTCTGGCACTGGCGTACTGTTAACACGCCTTCTCCATACACATCCGTCAATTTTTTTCTCGCTTGGACAGCATTTTTACCTTTTCTGAAGTAAAAAAGTAAAATACGACGAAAATGCTGCTTATTGCTCTCCATATTTAAAAGGGCACCAACCAAAAACTACTGCGTAGAATTAATAGAACTTTTTCACACACAAGCCTTGCAATATCAGCTCTCAAGACATATAATGGTTATGCGGCTTAAGTGTGAAGTTGGTTTCGAAAAAACGCAATTAAGTCCTCTGACGGGAAAAAACGAAATGACTTTCCGAACAACCTTATAATAAGCAGCGTGGTCGCAGCGACAAATGGAATGCTATTTTGATTTTTATTTCCTCTGGGACGATATTGCCATGAAAAAGGATCTAACAGCCAGTCCAATGTCAAAGTGTCCTGGAATCTTTTAACGAACACCATGAAGATTTTCTAAATGTTGGCAATAGACGAGACGCATATCATTAAGCCACGCATCAAGATCTGTCAGGTATGCGATATCAGTCATTGATGTGATGAGGTCAAGCAGTGTTTTAAATACGGATTCTTCTCTTGTGCCTGTCTCTAAGAAACCTCACGTAAGACAACAACTAATTTAAAAAAAAAATAAAAAAAAATAATAAGAACTAAAAGTTCACATTTTCACGAAATTATATATTTCCAAATGAAAATTATTTCGACAACACCGTGTCTTTATCAAATGTAATATTTACAAACTACCTGCTACTATATATACCGAAAATTGACATTAAAACCGTTTCCAGACACTGAAATAAGCGTGTCGCCAGCAAATAAGTTAACAAAGGAGTTTTTTAAAACCTGATACAGTCTCAAATGCACGTTTAAAATCAACGACACTCAGAATTAGGTTTGATTCATTCATGTCTTTCCGCCACACTGCACACATATATTGCAACGCAGATTCGCACGAGTGTTTGCTCCTGAAACCAGACTGTCCACTGTAGAGTACGCAGTTCCGCTCCAGGTAGTCTCTCAACTGCCCACACACTACCGTTTCCAGGATTTTATCCACTACTGGCAGCAAGTTAATTGGTCGAAAATCACCTGGTGTTTTCGGTTTTGACACTCTACGTATGGGCACTATGATGCTTGTTTTCAGTTTGTCAGGGATTTTTCCGGTACTCAAAGACGCATTCACCAAATATAACAACGGATAACCTATTACACAAAATAAATCCTTGACGAGCTTAATATTTAGAACAGAGTCACTTGTACTTCTTTTTTTTAGGTTTTTTACAGCTTTTTCAAGCTCCGATATCGTTACTTTTTTAAAGCAAGACAAGCTACAGCTGACCACGTCACACACAGAGTGCCGTTGCTTCTTTTCTATACTCTCTGCTATTTCATTTAAGCTATAGGCATAAAAGTTATTCATGTTTTCTTCTTCTTTGGCAGTGTAATGTCCAAAATCAATATCGATAAAATCTGCTTTTTTATTTTTATTTCCAACAAGTCCTTTTAATGTCTGCCACATTTTCTTTCCATTTCGCTTGCAATCATCAATTTTTTGGTTATAGTATCTTTGTTTTTCATTTCTGATAACAGAAATAACGTTATTTCTTTTTCTTTTATATTCTTCCCAGTCTTCTTCACTTTTGGTATATTTTAA